CTCTTTTCTCTGTACCAAAAAAAAAAAGTCTTATATTTAGGGTAAATGACCTACCCACCTGAATCATTTTTTTATTTTTTTGTTTGTTTGTTTGTTTTGCAAACATCATTAAAAAGCCCTTTCGATCTCAAGGGCACAATCCGTGCAAAATATGAGAGGTTTTGCAGCACTAAAGTAATGCGTCGTCTAATTAAGCATACTAGTTAAATACTTAAATATTGGAGGGTGAGACTAGCTTGTGTATTAATCGTCTGTGTTATCTTCTAAAACAGTACTAGCACGTTTGAAATAACTCATTTTCCCATTAGGATTCATGTGACTTCAATAAAGATATTTATGATTATGGATAATCACATGTACTTGCTCAATGAAATCATGAAAAAGGGGGGCACGATTTGTGCATCATCATTTAAATGTATTGTGAGTTCACAAGCATTTAAGTAACGAGTTGTAAAATCAAGTTAAATAAGTTAATTAGCATCTACGAAGTCATGCAAGTATTCTTTAAAACTCCGACACATTCACAAGAACTTATTATTTTCTATTAGTATTCATTTAAAATTGATCAAAGTTTGATAATTAGAGTTGATTACACCTATCTAATTGATTGAGTTCTGCGACAATTACGAAGGAAATCTCTTCTGATTACAAATGCACGATCAGCACAGCTTCATCTGAAGCACCCAACAAATGTAAGGGTACTTAAGTAACTTGACATATAATCGAAGTAAATGAGTTAATCAGAAAACTTACGAGATAAGATTTTCAAACTAGCTCCTGATTTATTCATGTCTAATAACACTTGGCACGTTTACTACAACTTCTTAAAATACCAGGGGCAGGGCGATTAGTTTGAAAATCACCAAAAACCCTTTTATCACAATTATACAACTGTATGGCATCATATCAAGTGCTGACAAAGTTTACGAGCAACGAAGTAACGTGATGTAAAATTAAAGTAGTATTTATTAATTAGGGTGTTCGAAAAGGTAAAATTTTGAACTGGTTCGAGTATTAATAATGAGTAACATTGTTTGAAACTTTGTTATGTTTGCAATTCGCCGCTAAGATTCAATTGAACATAGATCAAAGTTTTCTGATTAGGTTAATCACATTTATTAGCTCTAAATGAATTTCATTGAAATGACCAAAAAGTCCTTTTGTATAGGGCACGATTCGCACGGCAAGTTTATGAAAACTTTAAGTAACATATTGTGGAAGAAAATCATATTAGTTAATTAGGTTCGCACCCATAATATTTTCAAATTAAACTAGGATCTCTCTCGTACGTTGCACGAACGTGTTGAAATATACACTAATATGATTATTAATTACAAAAATATGTCACGTACTTATGCTGGATTGTAAAATATAAATTAAAAAAAAAACACATGATACAAAAGAATGAGCCAACAGTAAAAAGTGAGTTAAAAAAAATAGAGAAAATTAAATGATATTAATATTATTACAATTTAAATTTTCTTGAATTTGAATATAAAAATAATGTTTCACATAAATTTTTTAATAATTTTACTCGTGAGATTTCAATAGATTTTTTTAATAATTTTACCCGTGAGATTTCAACTATTTTTTAATGAAATTGACAATAGGCTGATTGAGTTTAAATATAAGAAAAGTGTCTTATTTGTTTTTTTTCTTTTCGTAATTTTAATCATGAAGTTTTAATATTTTTTAAATGAGATTGATATTAGAATGATTAAGTTTGAAAATAAGAAAAATGTGTTTTTCGGATTTTTTATTTTTATTTTTATTTTTTAATTTTACCCCTGAAAGTATATTTATTGATTAGGGTGCTCGAAAAGATAAAATTTTGAAACTAGTTCGAGAATTAATAATGAGTAACATCGTTTGAAACTTTGCAATGTTTGCGACGACTAATTCGCCGCTAGGATTCAATTGAACATCGATCAAAGTTTTCTGATTTGGTTAATCACATTTACTAGCTCTAAATGAGTTTCACTGAAATGACCAAAAAGTCCTTTTGTGTAGGGCATGATTCGCACAAGTTTATGAAAACTGTAACGTGTTGTGTAAGAAAATCATATTAGTTAATTAGGTTCTCATCCACGAGATTTTCAAACTAAATTCAATGTAATATTTATGATTATGGATAGGCATATCCGCACTCAATTGAGTTTTGTGAAATCACAAAAATATACTAGGCACAATATGTGCACAATTTTTACTGCATTCGAGCCATTATGTAATGAGTTGTTAATTAGGTAAGATTTTCAAACTGATAGATTTTTTTGAGAGAAAAAGTATTATAAATAAATAACGCTGGAATCAGCTCGCAGGCCGCGACCAAAAGTTGTCCTTTACCATATAAAATTTTGCATCTTGAGTGAATTTATGAGTAATTTCATTATCCAAACGTCTAACTCGTATAGATTTAGACTTAAGAAAGATTCTAAGAGATAAAAAGCTCTTGTATGTTTGTAACAATTTGATTTCACACGAGGACTCATTCGAACATCGATCAAAGTTTTCAACCTTCGCGAATGAGGTAGTAGTTTAACAGTAAAACCACACTTATTCTTAAGAAGAAGTCAATAATTCAATCTATCTATCCCAATAAAAGTGAGAGCTCTTATTAATTAACAGTTCTAGAGAACTTGTTAAGAAAAATTTATAAATAAATTTATCAATTTTGCACTCGAGTTTGTTACATCGGGCTCGTCTTGGTTGGTTTAACTCCCACGATGGCTTGCAGACTATGGAAATGAGGATAAATTTATCCATTTTTTATGAGGTTTTCGATTTTTTTTTTTAAAAAAAAACACTTGACAAAACTATCATGCATACAATCCAAAAACAATAAATTACCATTCTTGGTCGAACCAAGTGCCCGTGCCGAAGTTGCAATGATGAGGCTGACCCTAAATGGCGGTAAGCATAAGGTTAGCTCATCCAACATTTACACCAACAAACGATGGATTGGCGCTCTATCATTATATATATTTTTAGAATTATTGAATGAATTTTAAGTGTTGTTTTACATGAGTTCAATATTCTTGATATCTCGATATTGGGATTGATTAATTAACTTTGTGATCAGATGAAGGATTATTTGGGATCATGTAGTTAATTTTTAATATTCTGGTTAAAGTAATAATGAATTTTTGCAAAATAGTAATGATCTTAACATCTTTAATGTTTTTGTTTTTTTTGGCAGCATTTTATGTTTGTGACGCGTGTATCTTTAGATTGTTCAATTGATTCAGAAGACTCAATATGTAATGAAATCTTTTATCTCTTAATATATAACGATTAGTTAATTAGATCATTTACACGCCGGTAAAATTTTCAAAGTAGCTCTTATATCAACCCTTTATAAAACTTTTTCTATCTTAAAAAAATAATTCATATGTAGTTTTGAGATTTTTATTAAAAATAATACAAATATCAAAATTTAATGTAAATTATTATTAGTTTTGGACCGAAGGAATAATAATAACTTCTTAGGAGTTGTGACACACTGACAACACCTTTTATTCTTATTTGAAATTATTATTCAACATCTACCAAATTTTATGATTAGGGTAAATCACATTTATATGCCCATTTGAATCGCGTAGATCACTAAAAAAAGGTTCCTTTTAGTCACAAAGGCACAATCTGGACAGCATCATAAAAGGAGTCCATACAAATTTGCGAGCACTTAAATAACGTGTTATATGTAATTAAAATGTAAGTATTAATTAGTTATGAAGATCGTCCAGTAACATATTCATACAAATGTGTATTTTCGTTATGTGTAATACGCTATAAAACTTCTACAGATTTGCTAATTGTTAACTTGTTTCCGTAATAGTTTTGAGTATGAGTTTATGTTAAAAATAAATAAAAACAGGGCACTTAAAATCCACAAAGGATCAAAGTGAAAGCATATTAAAAAAAAAAATTATTTGAGATATACTGTATTTTTTTCTTGTGAATTTAAAATTGAGATAAACAACGTAGTACGTATAAGATTTTCAGTTAAGATAAATTTGGGATTTTGGAAGATAAAATTGATATTTGAATAACAAAAACCATTTTATAAACGAGATAAAACAAAGTAACCAAATAAATAAAAATAAATTGTTTGGGAAAAGGAGCCACAGTGGTTGGAAATTGGATGAAAACAGAACTCCACTCCAAACATCACCACCAGAATAAAATAAAAATACATAAAAGAAAATAAATAAAAGGAAAACCTAGTGAACGTCGGATCTGAATTCCATTTCCTAAGAGGAAAGAGGTAAAAAATTAAAAAAAAAAAAAAAAAGAGAATACCGCCTCCCGAAACACAACCCCAAGGTGTTGACCGTAATTACAAGGAAAATTAAGCCCTAATCCAGGTAGGAATAGGGCATCAAAGGGTATAATCGTCCGAGTCGGGGCAAGATGCGGAACATGATCACCCTCCCCCATAAATACGTGGTGAATCGTGCTCATCAAATCATCAACAAAACAAACCAAAAGCTCTTTTAGAATTTGGCTCTCTTCTTCTTCTTTCTCTCTCTCTGGAGAACAAGGCGAACCATATTTATTTACAGAAGAAAAAGCAAAGGAGGACAAAGCCTCGCTGCCCTCTTCCTCCTCCATTCGGAAAGGAAATCTCGCCGTAATCGTTGTGTTCCTAGGGTTAAAGATCTGACCGTCTTCATCTTTTCTTGTTCGGACTCCATTATTGATGTTGTTTCACGAAGAAGATTAGGACAATCGGAAGGATCTTGAACGAACTTGAAGAAACTTTTTCCTCCTTGGCTTGACGGCGTTTTTTTATAATCTCTTTTTGCTTAAAATATTGGCGCTGGGACGTCAGTTTTGACACAAATATATCATCAATCTGTGCTGGGACTGAGCGATTTGTGATTTAGAGACTACAAAGAAGACAAAAACAAGAAAGAAGAGGAAGAACAGGTATTGAAAAGTGATAATCCGTAGTTTTTTAATTGATTTTTGTGCCCCCTTTTTTCTGTTTTCTCTGCTCGATGTTTCGGTGTGGTCTTGCCTCCGTCGGAGGAGAAATTGGTGTTATGTATGGCGGTTTGCGGCGGATAACTCCTTGTTTGTACCCGGCGCTACTAGATCTATGGAGACGCATGTGTTATAGGGTTTATATAACTCATCTAAGATCGGAACAAGGACAAGGATTACGAACTGCATAGACAACCAGTCTTCTGCTTGTTAGATTTAAATCCCTTTTGAACATGAAGGCGGAGTTTTGGGATGCCTTTGTTTTTTGATTGATGTATTGGCTTGGCTGCATTTGTTTGGCGTCCTTTCCTCTGCCTTGATTTGTGGATTTGGGATTTCTAAGACGAGGAAGGCAGCTAGGGGTCCTCTGTTCAAGATCCCTTTATTTGGTGGCCTTTTTGGTGGATCCTTCACCAAGGTTTTTGATTCCTCTTAGGAGGCACCTGTGCGATTTATCTTCTCTCAATATTAAATCTCTGTGCGAAAATAAGAATTGATTATAGGGTTTTTGAAGTATTCATCCGTGCAATCTGATGGCAGCCAGCTTTACTGTGAACTGCGTGACGTGCTTTTGACCTTTGAGATATTTATGATTTATAAGAGTGCTTCCCAGATCCAATTTATTAGTTTGCTTTTTGTTGTGTGTGGATCGACAATCTGGAAGAATTCATGAATTGAGGAAACAGGAGGCTAAACGTTCTTTTGAGAAGCCTATTATTATTCTTTTTTTTTGGTAACAAAATCGTGGCAATTGCTGGCCCTATCTTTTCTGGTTTTGAGCATACATGGTTACTCTGAGGTTAATCTTTTGTTATCGTTTTTGGATATGTTCGAAGTTTGCTGCTTCTTTGTTATTGTTTGGGTACTTTCTGCTCAGTGGATTACCATTTCCATTTTGAGTGAGATTTGTTCTGGATGTGTGTGTTCTTTGGTCGATTTTTTCTGTTTTTTTGGTTGCTCATAGAGTTCTTACATGTTGCAGAGATCTTGTGTGACCCAGCTTGGGTATATTTGTTTGCATCTGAAGGAGACTAATGCTAGAGGATAACCTATGGTGAGTTTATTAGTTTCTTCTAATTGCCCTTGCATCCCCCTTTTTTTTTCCCCCATTGTCTCAGAAGCTGTATTTTTTCCCTTTCTATTGGCTTATAGTCTATTTGGTTTGCAGACTCGCTTTTGTACTTGCCCTGGAAGTTTAGCCTCATCGTTGGAATATAGTAAGAAGAGAAAGAAACTTGCAGAAGCTTCTTGCAAGACCTGTGGTGGCAGATTTGCAGTTGATGGAATAGGAGCTATATCTAGAAACATGGTGGGAACTGTGGGCTTGGAAGTTACAAGTTCTATCAGTCCAGAACTTAACTGGAAGACTGTGACCAAAGGAAAGCGATCAAGGAAGGCAGTTGCGAGATGCATGAATCGAAGTTTAGATTTGTCCCATAATAGCCCTAAGAGGGTGGGAGACTTCTCTGGATCAGACTCGGACAAGGTATGCCATTCATCGATTTTGATGTTATTTTTAGCCTTGCAAAGCTCACTTGATATCCTGATCCATTCTTTATTCTGTTTGCAGTTCGGTGAGACAGGAAATGGGCAATCCTTATCTGATAAAGCAGAATATATACCTCTGAAGAAGAGGAGGCACTTCCTTCGGTCCCCATCTCCATCTTCTCGGCCGCCATTATGTGGTGCTGAGCCAATGTCACCCCAAGTGTTAACTCCCTCTTCAGAAGACCTTCTCTCTGATCATAATGGTTCATCTGGGTCATACACCAATGGGCGTGTAGGTGCTTTTACAAGCTGTTTGGATAAAGTCCCTGGACATATAATTGGAGGATTTGATAGTTCCGATAATTTTGCTGGCATTGCACTCCTTGCAGCTGCTGCTTGCTTTAATAATATAGACGAAGATGCTTTTGTTGATAAGCTGGATGCTACTGAAGTTTCTTCTGCCCCTCAGAAATCTGATGACATGTCCTTACCCCAGATAGAGAGTATGCATTGTTCAGAATCAGGGAAACAGGTGTCTAGTATTGAAAATAAGGATTGCTCGCTTGTGGTAGGCTCTGTTGATGGTTCTCATAGTTCATATGAGAGTAAAGAATTAGTGTCCGGAAAATCTGCTTCTCCAAAGATTGATAGACTGCATTGGGACCTCAACACTCCAATGGATGCTTGGGATCAACCTAACAGTGATGGCAATGGCAAAGATGTTAGCGAGGAAATCATCCTTCCTGATAAAGAAGGATGTGAAATTGAGAAGGTTGCTATAAATAAAAGGAATGATGCGGAACCTTGTCTGCCTCCAATGAAAATTGAGAATGCTGCTGTTGGTACTATTTCAAAATTGGAGGAAAATGATTCTAAAGAATTATATTGCAATGATGGAATTGGCATGAAACCGAGTACACTCAGCATTTTTAATGGAGTTTCCAGGGGGGCTGTGCATTCTTCTTCTGCTGATTCAGGCAGGAATGAGCTTGTAAATTCTCCAAAAGCTGAATCATGTCATTCATCAGAAGTTTCGGGTCGATGCCAAGACACAAAATCTGACACTATGGGTGGTGCTCATATTGAAGACAAGTGTAAAGATGCTGATGGCTTGTCATTGTCAAATCCTTCTGACCATAATGCTGCCTTCAAAGACGATTCAGCCTCAGACAAGCTTGCTGGTGGATGTGATGGTCATATGGAATTTGCTGAAGGCTGTTTAAAGACTTGCGAATTGCCTGATGGTAGCATGGGGAAAGAGGTTTGTTTAGACAGCTGTCAAGCTCTGGAAGCGGAAAACTCTGAAAGTGGGTTGTGCAATGATCCTCATCCATCTTCTAAGCATAGTACCGCTCCAATCTCTACTGGAGGGGGGTCGGATGTATCTTGTGATGCTAAGGAAGACTCTGTGAAACTTGTTAGTGGTAATTTGGGAACAGATGCTGGAGAAGATGCAAGCTCCAAGGGGATCCTTGCTGAGCACGAAGATCCTAATTTATCCAATGGAGGGTCTGAAAAAATTAACACGATGGATGGATCAGGTTATGATTCTCCGTATGAGGATGGAGAATTGAGGGTGTCTGTCTTCAACTTTGAAAATGAGCTTGAGGATGGGGAACAAGAATGTCTGGATTATGAATCTGAAGGTAGAGTTGGTGGGGGTTCTGATGCGGGAGATTCTCCTGACCCAAAGACTATGGAAGCTGATGCCGAAGGCACAGACAAGAGCAGTGTATTGGCTGTACATGGTAGAGAAACTGAGTTTATGAAGAGTGGTTTTGGAAGTTCTTTGAGAAGTGGAGAAGAGAATGAGAATTCAGAGAAAACTGAGGTCTCTGGAGAAAAAGTATCAAATCAAGGATCTGGAACTACGGAGGAAAGATTTGCTGATGTGATGATGGTAGAAAGGAATTATGATGTTGTGAGAAGGCTGCATACTGCTGACCACATGGATGTAAATGAAGAAATAGGAGAAGTTAGGTCAAGGACAAACAGGGGCAAGTTGCTATCACGCATTGAAGGACCTCCATCTTTAGATAACACGGAGAAGGATGTTGCCTATCGCAGGTAATTTTCTCGGTTCCAGTTATTACTTTGCTTTTGCCTTTGATTTTTTTTTGGTTGGTTTTTGGGGGAGGGGTTTCAATTATTTTATTCATCTTCCCCTGTTTGTAATGTATTCTGATCAAGTCATTGATGTTCTTCTAGATCTCGGGATGTTGGTGATCCGTATTTCCGCAAGGAAAGGAATGGTGCTCCTGATAGATTTGTCGCTGGTTATAGATCTGATAATCATTACCGAGGAAGAAGAAATGAAGGGGATGGTGAGTGTGACTACTGGAACTCAAGAGAACGTTTTTCATCTGGTTACCGGGGCCCTGAGGGTCGTGGACAATCCAGGCAGAGAATTGCTTTTGGCCAATCTGTTGACAAATTTGGAGTGGACTCCCACAATCACAGGCATCCTTTTAATTATGCTTTTCATGTTGGAAGAGACAGCAGTCCGGATAGGTTTGCATCAAGGTTCAGATCTACTGGTCAGGATCGTGATAAGAATGGAGGAAATAATCAGTTGACTCACTGGGGTCCCAGAATGCGATATCCATATCATGGCGCAGAAGACAATCGACAGACAAGGCCTAGATGTGTCACTGATTCTTTTGACAAGTTTGGTGGATATAATAATTCGTATGACCGGAAAGAGTCTATGAATACTTCTTCAAGAACGATGCAGGGGCCACCTGACTGGAGGAGATCTCCCATTGATCGTGATGACTATCATCACGGTGGGTTGAGAAGAAATCCTGGACTGAGCAGCAGAGGGACTAGGGGAGGGTTTAGAAAGTTCTCCGACTATAGAGGCTTTAGGGATGATTATCACCAGCCTATGAATGAGGAGAATGCTGCTTCTGGGCGGGCACCGCATTATGCATGGAGAGAACAGAAATTTTTGCCTCACTCTGCTAGAGGGGCTCGTACGTCTTTACCACACAGAAGTTCACGTTCAAGATCTAGAACACGCTCTCCCCGTCCTTGGCTTCCACTAAGAGAACGCGATTCAAGACATCGTAGTAGATCGCCAGACTTCAGGTCTGAATCTCAACTGGAGAGAGGGAGGGTACCATTTCAGAATCCCAATTTTGAAGCTGATTATGATGATAGTTTCGTTTCTCCCCCTAGAGGCCGATTTTCTCCACAGCGGAATTTTAGGAGGGCTGAAGACCAGAATGTTTCAGATAGCCATGTGAGGAACAGAAGATCACCCTTCAATGGATATGGTCAGGGCCAGAGAATGGATTCTGTTGGTTTATCTGGACGATTAAAGTCAGATGATTCGTTCAGGCCCACATTACGGCCTGGAAGATTTCCTCCTGTGGCCGGTGTTGGAAGGGGATGCAAGTTGGAGGATGGTAATGAAGAGAAAGCACACGGCGACAACAGATCTGAGACAGTTCAGTGAGTGCTGAATTACCAGTTTTGAGTTGTGCTTAAGTTGACTGATTTAATATTAACTGGAGGCACGGGGAGTATGATAACTTGGATGCCGTCCGATGTCTGATTTTCCATCTCCAGGCAAGTAGGTTTTTCATTTTTGGATAGATGCATCACCGCATAGAGAATAATCAGGGGCTCCTGTTCTTCTAGTGGTTGAAGGGAAGGCTGGTAGTTAGGGAAATCTATACCCTTTTGAGTACTAATTGTCTTCTTTTTGTTTCCCCAACCTTTCCATTGGGGAGGGTGTTTTGGCAATCTGATTTTACTAATTTTCTTGGAAGTGTTTTGCTCTCCTCGTTTAATAGAACAGCCAAGGCTTCTATAATTTTTTGGGTCTGTCTTGGCTGTTAATTGTGTATATTTCTTTTCCTGATAGGCGAGGGGACAGTTTTACTCCTTTCATTTGGTTTTTGTCTTTGATTTTGGCAATAGAATTGCTTTATAAGAGAAAGCTCCCGTTACTATTTGAAGGTTCGTTAAAAAGACTCCATTTTCTATGGTGCATTTCAGAACTGAAAGTTGTGCGTTAATTTTCTTGAACTTCATTGGAGCAGTTGGTAATCAGGTTATGATACAGAGTTTTACTGGCGACCCTTCTGCCTTTTATTGTTTTCCAGTTAAGAGTTTGCTTTTGTGCTTCTGGCAACAGAAAGGGACTGCTACTTCACACGTGAGATTCCACACCCGTGAAGTTTCCTGAAGAGACTAGAAGAAGATTAGTGGACATGTGGAAAAGAAAATAGTGTGTAAAAATATTACCCATGCTACATTTCTCATCAATAAAAGCCGCATCTATTTACAGACAAAGTCCAAAATTGCTGCTGAACTAAGTCCTAACAGTCCACAAGTTATAAAGAAAAAAAAATCTGTTTTTTCCTTGCCAAACAATGACGGAAGCAACTATCCTATCAGCAGCGTGTTGTAATCTGAGCTGGAGCGCTTATGCCATAGGAATAAGTGAGCCTGGACATGGATATACTTCTGCGGCAATACGAGGTTAATTTACATGCGTCTCAGAACAAACATTCCAAAAGCAATCCCGACAAATGTTGCAATGGAAATTCCAAAGATCCCTACTAGAATGCCAGGAACCACCAAAGAATCCCATCCTTTGGCCTTGGCCATGCCACATGCTGTTGTTGGGCCTCCAATGTTGGCGTTTGATGCCACAAGCAACTGCTTCTGGTCAAGGCGGAATAGTTTTCCGAAGCATAGCAGTACAATTAGATGGACAGTCACTTGAACAAAAGCAAATGCAAATATGCTTGGGGCTGTGTGGATGACATTCCATATGCTGCCTCCAGCACCTACCACCGCGAAAAAGACCTGTTTACAAACCAATCAACACCGAATGAATGCATGAGCATTTCGACAAGGCTGACAAGAGCGCATCAAGCAACGACTAGAAACAAATATAAACTTCTTTCAGTTTCAAAAAAACAATTTCTCAAGCTGCATGCCCATTCATGGCATGCTGTGTCTTTTTCAAAAAAGAAGTGCATTTGTAAACAAAATATTTCATAAAGATTGTTGCTCTGATAGTCTGATGACAAATTCTGATGCAACATCCAAACTGACTGTACAATTTATAGGAGAGCAACAGCAGCATTTGATTACCTGCATTAAGAGTAAAGCAATAGCATCACCTGCAGGTGCAAGGGAGCGAAAAAATCCAGGAAACAAAGTCGCTAAAATCACAACGATTGCGGTGATTGCTGGAAGATCATAATTTTGAATTCCGGTAATTCTCATAAGAGAAGTGGCAGCTTTGCATATTGCGAAAGAGACTGCAAGAGCGGAACCAATCTGCAGCACCGGAAGTTTACCTCCAGTATCAACAGTCATATTTGTAGGAGCGTCTACAGGAAAAGGCAAAGGTCATGTTAAACAGTTGAACTTAAAGAACATCATTTCAGGGAACAAGTGTCTTTCAAGAGGATCACAAAGCTAATGATGGACAACATTCAGAAAAAGTTACTAATCAACACTTTACTATTTACTTTGGGGGCAAAGAAGATAAACACAGTGGAGCAAATGATTGTAGATAAACCGAAACGTGACCTGACAGTACTTTGAAACCAATACCTACTGCTGTTCAAAGCTGAAGTCTCCGAAGTTATCTTGGAAGCCAAGGCAAACAACACAATAAAGTATACAGCGCATATCACATTGTCAGCAGCAACACCTGCGGCAACGACTGAAGGAGAAACACCGAGCGCTTCTGATATTGCAACATAGTTGATCGCTACACGTGTGAAAGAAAAGATTTATTATAGTATTGAGATAATCATATGGAAAGAAAAGATCAAAACATGCAGGTAATTTAACTAAGTTAACAATACTGCTTCATTCTTTGTTATATTTTCCCCTTAATTCTTCAAAAGGATGGCCCAAGGTGAGATTATAGCACTGCAAATGGATTTAATGGAGCAAGTCATCATACTCCAAGATAGGTAATTCACTGTTACATTATCCCATGGAACCTTATAAAGAAGACAATTTTCATTATAGCGCAAGTCCAACTATGCTTCTTCATGGGCATTAAACGTAAGTCCAACTTCAAGTCATTTTAGCAGAAAGGCAAGAGCAACTTTCCATTTATCAAAAGCAGAAGGAGAAATGAGTGAAGGTAACTCAGACAACTGACCTCCACCAATATAGCTACCCATAAGAGCAGAGGCAATTTTCCAATTATCTTGACCAAGTGATCGCATTGGCACCAGCAAGAAAGCCACTAAAGTTCCGGCTATAGTAGCCACTTACAGAAGGAAAGAATGGTCCAACAAATCATTCAAATTGAATCCAACCAAAGTGAGGAAAGATAAGAAAAGCTGAAAATTGACCCCAAGCCTGAATGAAAAATTTAAAGACCTGAACCAAGCAAGAAAGCAAGAAGCAGGGTCCCGGTGGAGCGCAGGACTTGTTGCATGTCAGCTCTGAATAAGAGCAGGGGAACCGTTAAAGGAAGCAGAAACTTCATGACAACTGAATAAGCAGGTGCCTCATAAGGAATAATCCCCACATTACTGGCCGCTAACCCAAGCAATATACTCACTAATGCTGCACTCACCATGCTGCCAATCTTCGTTTTCTCCGACCTTCATTCCCTCCCATTGCAAATTATATACGAAATGAACAACGGTCTTTCATACCAATAAAAATTCTTCAAGAAACAATTAACTAGAGCAAGAATTTGACTGCACACACACAGTCACACACACACACTCACCAGAGACCAACAGCACCAGTTGCAAAAAGGGCAGTCCAGGTACCCCATTTGTCATCAGGAGGTATAAGTGGGAAATTCAACCCAGATTTCACCTTGACATCCCACTTGCGGAAACTGGAATATAAGGCGTTTCTCTGGAGGTTATTATCCCTGAAGGGACGGGAAGAGTACGAAGATGATTGAGAAAGATTGAGAATAAAATTTCTGGGAACTTTTGATAAAGTCAGCGGAGGTCTTTGAAGTGATGGAGAAGAGGTGACATGAACCACCACTCCCATTGACGATAAAGTCAGGATCAGCAAGCAACAGATGATGATGATGATGATGATGAAGGCTTTAACTTATAACTTGTTTAGTGGTCCTCTTCTCCGTAATCTTATGTTTATTTGATGAAGCTTTGTCAGATACCGCTACTCTCTGAAAGATCTTTCTCCGGTTCACGTAAATATTTTTGAGAGCAAGATGGGCCATGTCATTGTCATCCAAGCCCAATGGACGGCCCACGTTTCTTGATACCACATCATCAAAAATTCATCCTACAAGCTTCCCTGACTGCTTTATTTTATGAGTTCATCAACAGACTAAGTACTTAAATTAAAGAAATGGATTAATAATAGTACATGGTGCTATTAATGAGTTACATGTCATTGAACCAAAGGGATCCCAAAAGATGTACAGCCCACTAAATTGGTCCTTAAACATGTGAGTACCTATCAACATTGCTTCTGAACAAGTTTGATGATCTAGTGTTCGGAATTTACATGAACATGAGAACTTTGGATCCGAAAGCTATACCAAGAAATGTTGCAATTGCAATGCCGAAAATGCCAGCAAGAATTCCAGGAACAACTAAAGAGCTCCATCCTTTGGCAGTGGCCATTCCACAAGCTGTTGTAGGCCCACCCACATTGGCATTGGATGCTATAAGCAACAATTTCAGGTCAAAACGGAGGAGCTTTCCCAAACCTAGGATAACAGCAAGATGAACGGCTATCTGTACTAGTGCAAAAAAGAAGATACTTGGAGCTGTGCGAATGACATTCTGTATGCTTCCATTTGCACCAATCACGGTGAAAAATACCTGAATGCCAAGGAACATGAAATGAATTAAAGTTTGCAAAACCCAAAATTCGACAATGATAATGAAAGTTTCATCAGTGTGATGGTGTTTTGCCTAAAAACAGGCACCGAAATAGATATCCCTTGCAATTGAGTCTCCATACAAAACATAATCATTGCCCTTTCTCTCTGAGGCCTCCCTGAATGTTTCAAGATAACTTGTGCCCAAGCATTTTAGATAATATATCACACAATTTAGATACATTCGCTCAATGTATATCAAGATACAACTGGGGAAGAATGGTATTTGTTTGAGAACAGAAGCTTTGTCTAAAAAGTTTCGTATACAATCCTAAATCTGCAACTGGAGGATCCAAGCTGATGAAATAGAAAAATTTACCTGCATAAGAATGAGTGCCATCGCCTCACCAGAGGGGGCTAGATGAGTAAACACCTTTGGAAATGCCGTTGCCAGAATGACAACAATTGCTGTAACGGCTGGAAGGATACCCCCCGGTATCCCAAAATGTTTTGTGATAAAGCTTCCTATTTTGCAAATGGCAAAGGATACAGCTACGGCACTAGCAGATTCTAGCACAGGCAGTTTATGTCCAGGTTCTGGTGTATCAAGCTCAGTGCCTGCAATAATTAGGTTAGATCAGCAGAAACAAAGTTTTGTCGACTTCAATTAAAATGATTCATGCTGTTTAAGTCGCAATAACATAGTATATTTTCTGGGAATTCATACAGCCTTCGCGTGTCAGCAAACAGGGAAATCTTTAAAAAGGGAAGAGAATTTACTAGGTAAGGATGATGAAATTGGAAGGCAAAATGACTTCAGGAAATTACAGTTAAGTTATCATTACAAAAGAGGTTATAGACTCCATTCAGCTTATTTTGATGCACACACTCTTAAGCAGTGTATATTGAACCATTGTCAGCTTAACTAGCCAACTAACTAATCCTGCAAGGAAAAGTGGCATACCAACGGTAGATGTTGAAGCCTCTGCAGGTATCTTAGAAGCCAACGCAAACAAGCTTGTGAAATATACCGCGCAAATAACATTATCTGCAGCTAGTCCAGCAGTTAAAACAGAAGGAGTAATGTTCAAAGCTTCAGCTATTGCAACATAGTTGACAGCTGAAAAACAAACAGAAACATCATCAGTTGATATGAGGCAACTGCAAATTAACTCAAACTTGAATGAGAGTACAAAAAGTCCTTGATGTGAAAATCCTGAACAGATTACCTCCACCAATATGTCTTCCCATTAGTGCAGCAGCTATCTTCCAACCATCCTGACCTAATGATCGCATGGGAACCAGCCAGAATGCTACTGCAGTTCCCACGGTTGTTGCAACTACAAATCATCCCACAGAAGATGTACATTATACTCGAAGAAAAGAACTAGAGGTGCAAAAAAGTTCACCGCCCAAAATATGGTCAATATAATATATTTTGCAAGTAACATAGGACGTGATGATTTTGTAATCTGGCTGAATGCTTACCTGATCCAAGTAGGAAAGCCAGGAGGAGAGTCCCAGTGGAGCGTATCACACGGCGCATATCTGCTCTAAACAACAGCAAAGGAACCGCCAGTGGAAGCAAGGTATCCAAAACAACCTTGTACGCTGGTGCTTCGCAGGGTATAATCCCTAAATTACTGAAAGCAAGGCCAATTAAAGTACTCACCAGTGCCCCACTCAGAGCACTTCCAATCCGGGTCCTCTCCGACCTTCATTCCGAAGGATACCATAAAATTATCCCTTAAAAGATTGACGAATGTGCTAAACAAAGAAGGGATTAAAGGAAAAAGATTGTATTACCAGATGCCGAAAGCCCCGGTCGCGAAAAGAGCAGTCCAAGCACCCCAGTGATCCTGGGGAGAGATAATTGGATAACTCAACCCAGAGCTAAGAGCAGCCACGGCCACGGGACGACTCAATCTGGTGGGGCCATTGGGGTTCTGAAGTGGTGAAAATTGAGCTTTGTTTTTGGCATTCTGCGATGGCAAGGTGAAGTGTAGCTTCCTAGCTTGTGGGACAGCAGAGAAAGACTTGAATCGACGGGAAGTGAGGCATGGGTTTTGAAGCACCTGAGTTTGATGAGATGGGTGGGAAGTCGGCAGCAGCCACCTAAGTTGCGACGCCATAAAGAAGCGGATCTCGGCGATCGTCAACCCAAAGTCTGCTTAAAGAGTTAAAAGAAAGTACCCCGGAATCTAGAGCGAGGCAGGTGATAGTGGTGGTGGCCAGTCTTGTGAGATTTACGTGGCAAAACACGGTAAATTCTTATTCCAAATATGCATATAATCGATTCCCCTCTCAGTAAAACTGTAAAAGTTCGGTTCAAGTAGGAAAAATGTGAGAATTGAAATCGCAAGAAAAATTCCTCAACCATTTCTTACAACCAATGCTACTTTGAACATCATCTCCAACTAATTTAATAGTTCAAAATCTAGTCTGAGGGATAAAATTACAATGCTATTATCTTTGAAACGGTGCTTAATGTTTTGTCTACTTGAAATTACAGCAATAATACGATACAAACTGGATCTCAGGAAGCTTTTCTAAATCCATCATCTTTTCGCTGGTTACGCATTCTCTGCAGATCCCGTGTTAGGTGTCAGGCGTGTCATCAGCCTGTTTCAGTTTTTTGGTTATGTGGCTCTCTTCCTCCATGGCCTTCAATTTACTCTTTATAGCAGCTATCTTTGCGCTTTTATTCGATTGTCCTGCGAAACCTCCAACGAGGTTTGATTTGCTTGCCTCCCCGATAGTCTTGGATGACTCCATCAGGTATTTCTCGCTAGCAAGGCGAACAACCACTGGGCGACCATAAACCAGCTTCCCATGCATCTTCTCCTTGGCCAGTTCAGCTTCCTGCATACTCACTTTAAAAGCAAAAATCAAAATTTGCAACCACTCAAACCCTAAAAGAAGGGTGAAATACTTGTATGCGCTGAAATGATGCGGAAAATGTGAATTCCTATTAGCAAGAGATGATCAAGCTTACCTCTTTGGTGCTGAATTGAACAAAAGCGTATCCACGTGGCTCTCCACGTTTAGGACCTCGAGTGTGCCACAAGAAGTCTTCTGACACTATGTTTCCGAATGGAGCAAACATCTTAATCAGAGCCGCCCTGACATGAGATACACAGATACAAGATTAAGAAATTTGAGGAAAATTAGCTCATTGATCAAAGATTGCATATAGCAATATAGATGTGTCATTACTCTGTTATTCTTAAGTCCAGATTGCCGATATAAAGTCTGCTTTCACACTTCTCCTCAAAAGAATGGTTCAGGTCCTGCAATGGGAAGGAGTTCATATTCAGACAAGACTCAAAAGCATGTAGTTGCAAAACTAAAAAGCCAGTATAAACCATTTCAATTCCTCATCGTCCATCTTTCAACAAGAGCTAAAATCCTTATTTGATTCCTACACTGGTTGGATGCCACTTACAGATATTTACAGGCATCAACAAAAACACAACCTTCTCCCAGTGTTCAAATATAAAGTGTCAATTGACAATAACCATACCATGGAACTGCAAGAGGATTTGTTCGCAGGATTGAAGAGCAACTCAAGCCTGCATACATCATGGCCATCACGTCAGATTTTGGAACAAAGTAACATATACACACATCAAGAGGCGAACTACAAAATTTCACCCAAAAAAAAAAAGAGGGGATAGCTTTGCATTGGAAGTAAGTATAAGGTTAATTACAGATCAGAGATCACAAAATAGGGATCAAACATAACAAACAGCAAAATCCTCAAATTGCCGCTTAATTTACTCTGGTCACAAAGTTACTGTCTGACATCCAATCTAATTTTCCTCTCCAATAAACTACAATTAAACTACATCTCTCACCATTTCTCTGGTAAAACAATCTAGAACAGTTAAAGCTACTTATGAATGGTAAAAACATATTGGTTCCCACATCTACAACTCATTTATGCCAATGGAACCTCTACCTTACTTGTTCGGGGAAAGTATTTACAAGAGCAGAAAAAAAGCGCAGATAATACTCCCTCCGTGTCCAATTTCGATATTCAGTCTTAGTACAAATTGAACTAAAAATGAAAATCCAAACCCACAATAATTATGGGACGGAGGGAGTATGATTCTACATCCCTAAAATGAAACATCAGTCGGCATACATCATAAGATAAAGAAAGTAGATCGCAAAAAAAAATATCTCTATCACAAAAAAAAAACCCCCAAAATCCAAAAACCCTAGGAATCATACAACATAGAAAATCAAAAGAGGAAGTTCGAAGGATTACGGTTTCAGCCTGAAAATTGCACGTGGAGAATAAAAGCAGTGGATACAGCAGGAAATGAGCAAAGGCGATGACGGTGGAGCCAGAATCCTCTACTTCAACAACATCCCCGTCGTCTCCACGGTTGTCACAATATCTAAATGGCTTGTGACGTGTTAAAAAGTGCTTACGTATTCTTGCTTGTAGCCCATTTAGTGTGGTCACGTCAGGGGACGTCATTGGGTCCAGCCCATTTGGAGGGATGTACTGGGCCTTCCACTTTTGTACAATTGTAAATATAAAAAATAAATAAATTAAACAAAGTACTATCGTAGTTGAAGAAAGTCAAGAAACTCCCTCCACTCTTTGATTATAGGTAGTATTTATAATAATTATAAGTCGGGAATTAGGGATTTAAAACCGTATTAACCTTAAATCCTTTAGCTGGGGATTAGTCACTTTAAAATAAAATGGTTTAGGTTCCATTTGAAACATTTGTGTCTAGCCTGCACTAAATATGTTTTTTACTCCGTTTTTTATAATTATTATAGTAAAATAATAATTGTAAGGGGGTCTTTTTCTTTTTTTAATTTTTTTTAATAATAGTAAAATAATGTTGGATGTAGTGGTTCTCCACTCCGGCAGCATTGGGTAACCGGCAACACGATAACTAATTTGTCATTGTCGGTGTTGGCCTGTTGAATTGAAGTGAGGTGAACCTTTTGCCAGAATTTTGACTTTGCGAATTATCTCAGTTTATCCTCTTTTTTGTGTTTTTATGTGGCAATGATTTTATTTAAGAAAAAAGAAATTCTAATTTGCCTTCATTAGTGGATGTTATAATAGTAATTAATTAATTGTTAATTTGATTGATGTATATCTTCCCTCATGTACAATTTGTTATACATTGAAACACACTAGGATTAACATAATGTTTAGTAGATGTATAATTTGATTCAAATTGTAATCGTACAAATTACACCTTGGAAGTAGTGGGACACGTAATAAAAGTCTGATTTCTCTCTTGCTTACTACTGTTGCAGACTTTGAGTTTACTTTTTTACCCTTTGAAGCAAAACTCAGTACAAATTGCAGAAAGAGAAAAATAATAAAATTTGGCAGCACCGAGAAAAGGAAAAAGGAAAAGAAAAAAGAAAAAAAAGGACGCCACCGTTATTCGAAAATTCAATTTTCACTCCATCCCTCCTCCCTTCCCCCACTGTCTCTCTATAATCATTGCCCTCACTTGCTCCATTCCGACTTCAAATCATCACTTTCCTCTCCGAATCTTTCTACTAATTGTGTGCTTTTTCTTCCCCCATCGATTCTCTCTTTTACCGTTTTTCAATTGTGTGGATTTCTGAAGAGCAGTTTTTAGTGTGTGGGGTTAGGGTTTTATTATTAGCGGAATTGAAGGTTGTAATTTTTTTTTCTTTCTGGAGGGGAACAAGATGACGGAGGTGATCCTCCACATATATGATGTTACCAACAGTGGATCAGACAAGACTAATAACACCATTATGCAGATCAATAAGATCTTCAAAGATGGAATCGGTATCGGCGGCATATTTCACAGCGCCGTTCAGGTTATCCCTTTTCCCCCAATATTAATTTTTTTTTTCCTTGTAATTATTTTCGTCTGGCTTGTGATAATTTTGTCTTCGTGAGTGGATAACCTACTGCTGTGGAATTCATTAGTTTCAAATTTAATCAAGACAGATCCTTCTTTGCTACTTGCTTAGTGTTTTTTAAAAAAAGAATCATGCAACTATTGTTTTCAGGTAGATCTAGGGTTTCTTTAGTTATTTGTAGCTTCGGTTACGCAAATTTATGGTGTCTGTTAACTGTAGCAGAAGCAACTGAAATTATGTACTAGTTATCTGTATCTATGTGGCCGTCGCCGCAGCTGTTATGAGCTTTTTACTCATTGGTGGAGGTAGGGTTATACTTATAATAATTTTAGGCTGTGGTTTTAACTAAGAGTTTTGGATAAGAACTATGTTCACTGTATCATGTTTCAGATCAAGTTCAAGGATCCATGGACATGAAATGCTTCCTTAACATCCGGAGCCTTGTTTATGTGCTCTCGAATGTGTATTTCCTGTTTAAGCGGTTGGACTGAATCATCACTTTCCATTGTGTGCTTCGGTACCTTGCTCGTTTCATATTTAATTTTAAGAAAGTAACACTAACTAGGATATTTGGAAGTGTTGGATGAATTCAGGATTAAGAGTTGAGAGCTTTGAGGGGGATTCAAAGTTAGAAGATGTGAGATTTGTTTATGTTATCCTTTCACTTCTCTCGATGAATTCTTGACTTTTAGTAACAAATGAAATGCACAATGAGAACAAAACAATTGAAAACTTCTTTCATTCCCGTGTAGTAAGGATAGGTTGTAGAATTGTGTGCATGTGTTTTTCTTGCTTGTTCTCTATTTGGCTAGAAGCAAAGTTTTTGAATTTTGTACTCTTTTAATTTTGTGATGTTCTGTGTTAACATCAGATCTATGGAGAAGAAGAGTGGTCATTTGGATTCTGTGAACAAGGGAGTGGTGTTTTTAGCTGTCCTGCTGGAAAAAATCCAATGTATACTTATCGTGAAGCAATTATCCTTGGGAGTACAAATTTTCCCATCTTTAAGGTGAATCAGATACTTAGGGAACTTAGTAGAGAGTGGCCTGGACATTCTTATGATTTGTTGTCAAAGAATTGTAATCATTTCTGCGATGAGCTTTGTGAAAGACTCGGGGTGCCGAAGCTCCCTGGTAAGTATTCTGTCATCCTTTTTCTTTTTGTGCATGCTTAAATTGCTCAAATTCTGATATGTACGCAACTTTTTCCCTTTTCTCAATAGTGGCTATGTGTGTATCGAGTTGTCTGTCTCCTATGTATGCGCACCAATACTTTACTGAACTATCTGATTGATAGTGAATTTGATTCCCTTTTTAGATCTCAAAGCTAACTTTTCTAATATGCTTTTTATTTTTCAAAATGTTAAAATAGATCAAAAAAGTATATAGTATTTGTAATTTGGTATTTGATTATAATCTCCCTTGGAACATTTATAAGAAGTTACATTTCTTTTCCTTGAAGTGTGTGCATTGCATTTAGGCAATTTGCTCCTTGTAACATAAGTCAGTGATGGTGAGTGTGTTCCTGAAGTTGTTGGTAAATTTGATGATTAGATTTAGATGATTTGTAACATAAATGATAAATTGGGATGTCATCTCCTAAATAGCATCGAATGTGCCTGTATTTATAGCATTATGTTCATTTGTTGGTAAGCATTTTGAAATTGGGAGGCAATTTTCTATATGGTTAGTGATATTGATGTGTATAGTTAAATAGATCCTACTAGTGGTAGGCTACAAAGTCGGAATGCATTTGAATGACCATCTTTACTGTTTCTGTTAAATGGTCTACATCAGGCAAACTGGCAGGTGTTGTGACATCAAGGATCAGTCCCTTTTTTTCACATTGCTGTTTAGCATTCATGTTGATAAATGGCAGCTTGTGTCTTTTTAAGTGAAAAAAAGAAAGGAGCATAGGAATAACAGTTTCTATACAATCCTGTCGTTGGTTGTAGACAAATTTCTTATAAGTTCTTGAAACAGGATGGGTGAACAGATTTGCTCATGCTGGCGATGCAGCTGTGGAAATGGCAGAAACGACGGCCCTTAAGGTGTGTTAGATTGCTTCAACAATTGGCATGTTTCTATTACGAGTCAACATCTCCTTGTGTCCTGGTGTTTTTTGCTGCGATCTGCTTTCATTCGTGACTTGTCTGCTGCTCTGACAATGCTGATGACTTTTTAATCATTTTTTAATTCTTTGTCTACAGTTTAGACAAGCAAAAACCGAGATAGTAACTGCCAGCAAAGTAGCTTATCGATTTCTTTTAGGTGTTACCTCCAACAACTCAGCTGCTAGTCCTGACTCTACTGGAAATTCCACCCGGGGATCACCTAGAATCCAGGGAACATGGTTTAAGAATCTCATTTCTGCTGGTGCAAAACCATCAAGTAGTTCAGACGCGGATAGTCACGAGGAGAATGGCATGCTTCAACATCAGCGAGCAGATGCAGAGGCACCTTTAAGGCCAACTTCCCATCGGGATTTTTAGTCAAGCCTACTGATTTGGGCCTGTATCATGTACTAGTGGCGATGTATGACAGTCAAGCTTCTCAATTGTTGGATCGTGTCTGAAGAATATGCCTCTCCAAGGAAATCTCTTATGCCTGCTCGAATGTCTTAATGTACTGCAAAATATAGTGGGCTCTCAAAGAAAAATTCGTTTTGTAATGCAAATATTAAGAAATTTCTAGCGGCTTGTTATTAGCAAGGTAGATAGCGCCACAATTGATGTTGTTGGCATCAGCAACAGTTCCAAGCAAATGAAGGTTAGAATGTGAAATTGTAATTGACGTTCATTATTCATGATTCTGCGACACAATTCCATTTTTCCTGCCAAACTGGCTATTTCTTTCACACTGAATTCCGGAAAACGTGGAGTTACAGCTTTCCGGCCATTAAGTTTGCCAAGAATCACATTACTGGAACAGAAAGGAGAGTTAAATTGCCGGAGTAACAGCAAATCCAACTCCTGGGACCATCAATCTTGGTCCAACTCCTGGGACCATCAATCTTGGCGCCGGTGGGACTGATAAGTATATTACCGCAAAAGGCAATTTATACATTATTTACTCTTGTAAGAGACCAAGACACTCGGAAAATAACTCTTGCAAAGCCCCTGTATGGTATAACAACTGATGATATGGAAGGCCGGGTCGGTTCGTTAACAAAATGCCTTATTGCGTACAACTGGGAAAGTACGAACAGCACATGAAACCCAGAATCAAGGAAACACAAATCAATACAATTGAAGGAACTTTGCTCCTTTAAATTTGGAAACAGAAGTTAATACATAACAGGACTCACATTTACTACAACTTCGAGGAAATTAAAACAAGCCACACCAGCTCTGAGAAAGAGGAGCTCAATAGTACTCATACAATACAAGGACATCGGATAAATAAGATGGTTATATACAGATAGACAACTCATTATTCAGAACCAGAAAAATCAAGCACAACACACATCATTCTCTGGATTCTTTTAACTACCATCTCTTTTGGTTATCCTCTCAGCATATGATTGAACACATAATTGTCCACCTGGGAATCTTCTGCAATTTGAAGTGATGAAACAGCTTGTGCAATGAGACTAGGCGAAAATCCCGCACTTTCCCAGCCTCTACCCTCCAGGTACTGAGGGTAGATCTCCCTTTGGAAAGCTTCAGAGGGCGCCATCTGATCAGAGTTATTCCAATCACTCCACATGTATCCATACTTCTGGTTATCAGAGAACCACCCTATATTCTTTAATGAGTACCCTGGGAGGTCATCATGAGGAACCACTGCTTCAGTACCGCCCATGAATATGCCAAAACCGCCATAGCAATCCCACTGGTTCAGCCCCTCATCCTTCTTCATCATCACATTACATGAATCGTCCGAGTCTTCACCAATAAGGACATGCAGAGCAACCGCCTCTGCAATTGCAGCACCTTCTTCATCGAGTCTCTGCTGCTCTTCTTTTTTCTTTTGTTTCTTTTTCTCCAGTTCAGAACGAATGGCTGCGGAAGTAGCAAGAGCCTTTTCCAAGCGCCTCTTTTTCTTCTCAGCCTGTTTGATCCGATCCAACTCATCCTTGACTTGCTTCTTCTTTACCTTTCTCACACCTGATGGCACTTTTGCACTCTCCATCTTATCCAGCAAACTAAAAACTACAATCACTCAGCCTATCTAGTCAAAATACTCTCTTTCCCCGTCAAGAAAAGTTGCCTAAAATATATAAATCATCTCTACTACTAATAAGTTTCTTTTCCTTCTGTATCCTATAATGACAGTACTCAAAACAACAACCAATGAAATTGCCACTCCTAGTATAAAACCCTACACCCACTCAGGTCTGAACGAATACCTCATTTTGCGCACAATACAATCCCAAACAGAAACAATGGGGGATAGCATCAAAGAGAATTGGTAAGAACTTAGAGATCCGTCCCTGGACATTCTTCCCAATTTTCCACACCCTTTGCTCTTGCCCATCATGTGAGGAAAACGAGTTGGATTATTGTAAGAGAACAGCAATACTACTCCTTTTGATGCAAACAACTTACATGGCCTTCTCTCCTGCAAGATGAGGGAACAAAAAAACATTCATTTAGGATACTGAAATCTACAAATAATCAAAAGGTATAATCAAGTTTCAGACTTTAAAAGTTAACCCCAATGGAACAGCATAATACAAAGACCTACTAAATCCAACATATCTAGCCAATACACCAAATTTCAAGAAAAGAAGTCGATAAAGAGAGATCATCATGTAAAGAATTATCAACACTTCCTCAGCTGCCAGATTCGTTCTATCACAAATATTGTTTAGATGCCTCGCTGTGTTTAGGGATATTACACTTCTTTGTAGAGGGCGTGACAAATAAACCAACACATTACTCCCAGTATCATCACAGTTGTTTTTATTTTTTTTGGTTAACAAACACAGAATGGCTCCTAATGCCTCAAAATATACAGCTTACAGAGCTTCTGGAATCCTGCTCTAACAACAAACTAATAAAGCTAGGGGAAACAAACTAATGGCTCATCACAGTTTCAATTACTATATGGATGATTAACCATGGCATCAAACATCCTAATCGCAGTAATCAATCCCCAAATATCAAGCTCCTAACTGAATAAATCTTCGGAAAGAGGGGCTATAACAAACAAAAGCTTCAAAGTAATAAAACAAAAGTCAACTTCAATTGTCATTCGATCGATCAGACTTAGACATCTTCTTCAAGATGGATCACAGATCCACAATTCATTCAATTACTGACACCATCCCAGATCCAAGAAACCCTACCCTAAGCAAATCTTATTTAATTTCCAGGCTACATACCAAACACACAGAAGAATCGGATAATTCAACGATACTATGAAACCCCTCAATTAACATCAGATCGAAAAACCCGGAAAGCGAATAGCAGGTACTAGATCATTTCTTTAAACAAAAATTAAAAAAAAAAAAAAAAAAAGCACAAAGAGAGAAAAGCGAACCTGGAATTGACAAGGAGATTTGAGAAGGCCACAGGAACAAACAAACTATAATTCTTCACCAACTGAGTCCAAATACGTGTATATGATTTAAAAAGTGTTTAAAAGGTTTGTCTCCTGAATATAAAAACTTTTTCCTTTCTGTGGGTGATCGGATCGGCCAAAAAAAAACCAAAAAAAAACAGCTTCTAAATCTAATCACAATTCACAGGGGAGTGGTTACTGGTAGAGTAAAGAGAGAAGGAACACGGAGACACGCAAAATATAGAAAATATAAAAAAAGATTAGAGAAAGTGATCACGAGAGATTTGCAGTTTTGGGGGGATGAAGGAGAGAGACGGGGATGACTAAGAGAAGGAAGGGCTGAATGGTAATTTCGTGTGTGCGTGGACCACGTGGCGGAAGATGGGGTAGGGATCTGGAAGTTGAGTCCTTTCCTGTGAGGACTCTTATCCCACTGGTGTATTCCTGACACTTGGACTTTGAAGATAGATGGATAGAATTCAATGCCCTTTGCAGGTCCCACCGTAGCTCGCCTTCTGTCCGTTGATATCTGAACGGTGGGGGCCCAGACGTGTATATTAACGGTAGAGATTAGAAATCGAATGGGGTTTAGTAGGCCGAGGTTGTAGTAGATCACGGATTCAGTTTTTGGATTGGGTCACATTTAACATTCCTACCGTCATTTGTTCGTCATCGTAGTCTGACTGATGGCCCAATATTAGGAAATAGAAAACATGGTAGTATTTCCATTTCTGGGTGGCGAACTGCCGAACTGCAATTGTGGGCTTCCGCACATGGATCCACTCTCGCGGTCTAGCCAAACTATAAATGCATAATTATGTTTGTTTTATCAAATTGCTTCAAATATTAAATAACACCTGCACAATTGTTTTTTTTATTACATGAGAAAAAATAAATAAAATTTTGAGGTCGCCCTTATTGATACTTTAAAGCCTACAGGAGAAGAAAATAATATTATTAGGAGATGATTCTATTCGCGTGCGCCTCTTGCTCAGAGACAGTTATTCTGCTTATTTAAATTGGTTGTTGGTCAACCTACTTTCTCCTCAAGCTGCCTACTTCCCGCATCTGTGGTAGGAACCACCAATGTTCGATTCAATAAGATGCTCCCTTCGTTTTGAAATAATTTTCGACTTTGGATCTTTATTTTTAGTATAAATTAAAATTCGAACTGGACAATGATTTTATGACAGAGGGTTTAATACTTTTCCTTCTTGAAAAATTTGTTTAGTTTGAGCTTTCACTTTTAAATAGGTTATATTGAAAATTAAAATCTGAATTGAACAATTATTTTAATACAAATAGTCCCCCAATTGAGTCCGAGCTCCTTGCTTCTAGTTAAGCTTTAGTCTTGGCTCTGCCTGCTTACCAATTTTACTCCTAGCAGCTAGTTTCTGCGTACATAAATTTTTATTTTTATTTTATTTAAAAAAAAGGACACTTATGAAGTTTTTCATAACTATTTTGAAATAATAAATTAAGCTTAGAAGAAACTTACACTATCAGTATTTGGAAATTATTTATTAACCAATAGTTCTGTACACCATTTATGTTATGATAATTATTGTGTCTATATGAAAGACCTTTAGGGTTTACTTAATAATTTTTTACCAAATATGATAATAAGTTAACAGCTAGAGGTAGAGCGTAAAAATTGGGCCGAGAATAAAAGTAAATAATCTCAAAAAAAATTCTCTTTTTCCCAATTATAATTAGTTAAACGAGTTAAGTTGTAAAGAATAACTGGTTGCTGAGTGATGGCGTAAACAAGCTAGTGTGATAGTTGAGTTATGGCGTAAACAAACCACTGTATAAGAGTTAGATTGGTGTGCTCTGTTGATAGTATTAACCATTTAGCCTTGATATTTGTGATGATACCTCACGAGATAAATTTATTTATATTGTTGATATTATTCCGCGGCGTGTTAGTTTCTTATCAGTTAAGGGACTAACTTATACTCCCTCCGTCCCATAATTATTGTCCATTTTTACTAAAATGAAAGATTTTATTTTTGGTCGAACTTAGCTATATTTTATCTTAAACAACCGGATATACCCCTACATAAGTAATTGTTTAACTACTAAAATTTTATGGATAATGTTTTTTACTAAGAACAAATGTGTAACTTGATCTATAAAAAGTCAAATTGGACAATAATTTTGGGACAAAATTTTTTGGGCAAAGTGGACAATAAATATGGGACGGAGGGAGTATATTATTTACATATGAATAATATATATATATATTTAATGTCCAAAATATAATAATCATGTTTATGTCAAACAGTAGCAATCAATGCTAGTAGTAAGTACTCCCTCTAGTCCTTAATATAATACATTTTGATTTGTCTTAGATTTCAACTGGTACACATTTTTATTTGACAAAAAATCTTAAAAATATTTAATAGCGATCAAGAGAACATATTGAATATGAAAATATAGTTTTAAGATTTTTTTATCAATTAAAAATGTGTATTAGGTGAAATATGGAATAAATTAGAATGCCTTAAATTAATTAAGGACAGGAGGGAGTACTAAGTAGTAACTAGAAAACAAATAAGAGATGAGCGTATGGCAGTTTTGGGAATTCAGAGATTCAATTGACAGTTTCAACAAACATTGGGGGGTAAACAAAGATAATTAACATAAATTATTTTGGTATAGATTCTAGATATTTGAGCCCTTGAGCCGAATGCACCCAAATTTTGTAGTCGCCGTCTCAAACTCTCAAAACACCACTCTGCCTTTCCAGATTTGTCAACTGGCTCTCTTCATTTCATTTTTACCTCCAATTATATGTAGGAAAATCACAGACACGGAGAGTAGCTGCGAGTTGCAATGATATCTCTGCAACCGCTCACCAACCCTAAGGCTTCCGCCTTGTACTCTTCCTCGCTGATTCCACCCAACCCATTCTTTCATTCCCTCAAAACCCTAAAGCCACCCACTCCTTACCTAAAACCCTTCCCCCGAATCCAATCCATTTTACAGTACAACCGCAAGCCCCAGCTCGCCGGCGAGACTCCTCGGGTTGTCGTCATCACCTCCGGCAAAGGCGGTGTAGGCAAGACCACTACCACCGCCAATGTGGGGTTGTCACTCGCCCGCCTGGGCTTCTCCGTGGTGGCCATTGACGCCGATGTGGGCCTCCGTAACCTTGACCTCCTTCTCGGTCTGGAGAATCGAGTGAATTACACCGTTGTGGAGGTTCTCAACGGGGATTGCCGGCTCGACCAAGCCTTGGTTCGAGACAAGCGCTGGTCCAATTTTGAGCTGCTCTGCATTTCCAAACCCAGATCCAAATTGCCCATTGGGTTCGGTGGGAAAGCCCTTACTTGGCTGGTGGAAGCATTGAAAGATAGGGAGGAAGGCGCTCCGGACTTTATCCTGATCGATTGCCCAGCTGGCATTGATGCTGGGTTCATTACTGCCATTACCCCAGCCAATGAGGCTGTTTTGGTGACCACCCCGGATATCACCAGCCTTAGGGATGCAGATAGGGTGACGGGTTTGCTGGAATGTGATGGTATTAGAGACATCAAGATGATTGTCAACCGAGTTCGGACGGATATGATAAGAGGCGAGGATATGATGTCGGTGCTGGATGTGCAGGAAATGTTGGGGTTGGCTTTGCTCGGTGTGATTCCAGAGGATGCGGAAGTTATTAGGAGTACCAACAGAGGGTATCCTCTTGTGCTGAATAAGCCGCCGACTTTGGCTGGCCTGGCATTTGAGCAGGCGGCGTGGAGGTTAGTTGAGCAGGATAGTATGCAAGCTGTTATGGTGGAGGAAGAGCCTAAGAAACGAGGCTGGTTTTCTTTTTTTGGAGGGTAGATTAAACCATGCCATTCTGCTTCCAAGTTTGTTTTTCTTTGGGGTAAGAGGAAGATGGTAAGTTGTTTGATGTGTACAGTAGGGAAAGTAGGGATTTTTTCTTTTGATGAATTGTAAGTGTAATTTCAATCCTTTATCAATCCTATATTAGGATTTATTTTGCTTGGTAAAACCTTTGGTTGCCGTACATTCTTTCCAGTAGTCAAGGATTTGGCAGGAAAATTGTTTTGAGTTAAATTTTTAGAATCACTTATGAAATCCTCCATCACTGAAGATTAAAGTAAGGAATTTTTAGTCGGAATAGAAAACGGCATTCTCTGGTATTGAAGCTGATCTATATTGATGTTTCCTTTTATATGCTTATCTAGTTATTGCAATTTTGAAACTGGGAAATACCACTTCTGTGTTTATTTGACGATTTTGCATTGGCCTCAAATTCATGCTTCATTAAGTGAAAGTTTTCCTTGTGGCGCTAAAACTTTCAACACATGTATATGATGATGTATCAGTGCTTTTCCATTGTTTTACCACTTCAAATCCATGCTTCATTAAGTGCAAATTTCCGTTGCAACTGCTACCTGTTTAGACTTCTTAGCATTGTTGGGTATAGTCATTCACAAGCTCCAAACTGACATTACCATTGTGATCATTCATTTTCTGCTGGTGAGCGTATTCTGGTCATGTTTCTTCTGCACCATGAATTTTGGACGAGTGCCCAAGATATTGTTACTTTTGCAGCTAAGGGCTGCTGCACTAAAACCAGGGAATGTTCTCTTATTAAGGTAGATCCTTGAAAGTTAAAACAGGCTAATGTTCTCTTAGTATATCAAGATCGTGGTCATTGCATAACTGTATGGCTGAAACACACGCGACATTATCTGTTAGCGTTTTTGTGGAAATACTCGATACATGCCACTCATTATCAAAATGTGATATACCGGGCTGTCAGACCAAGACTTGTTAGAGCATAACTATGGTTCCATCTACTTCATGATGGGAGACGACGACATAAGTTGCGGTCCAGAGGAGATGCAATCAAATGGTTGAAACTGAACAGAGTAAAGGAGGAGATGGCTTTTCAGGGGAACAACAGTTTCATCACAAGGTATATTGTTCAGCTCCTTAACAAGCTGTAGTAGTGTGCTGATTAAAATGTCTGAATGTAGAAACATACAGAAGCCGTTCAGTTATGCCATGATCGTATGGAAACATACTCTATCACTGATATATCAAGTTGAAGAAATTGGTTTTCGTAATGAGATGGATCTCTCGGTTTTTCATCTCTTTTTGATGAATTGAAACGAATTTGTTAGAATTACTTACTCTCCATTCATAAATGTATGGTTTCACTTTTATACCACGTCATGTTATTATAAGGTATTTATCATTTTCCTGTATCTCTTCAGGCATAGGCTTCAATTGGTTTAACTCCATCGATCAGATAAGCGGATGCAACATAAAATAAGGATTAGTTCCGAGGAGATGAAAATTCAAAGCGCAAATATCTCAATGGCTAATCAATTCAATCATCTGCAAATAAATAAATTTAGAAAAATTAACCAAATTAACTAATGTTCAAAGTCAGTAAATAATCTGCCACAAAACACATCCTTATTAAACATATAACTAGTGGAGACAGATGTGTAATCCACGAGTAGTGTATCTGTTGTGGAAGAATTGAATCCTAAACCTCGTATTCTAACCTAGTTTTTCTTCGGACCACCAATGAATAATATTACATTCAATTTGAGCCTTGAAAAATGTTACAGAGACAATAGCTAGTCCTAGTACACCTGTGATTTCCCGGAGGCCAAGCCGTTATTTTCTGTGAATATTACTATATATGTAGCAAGATGTTACGAAAGGGAAAAAACACAAGAAGAAGAATTTAATCTTTACTCTACAAACGTCAAATTGGGTTTTCTCACCACATTTGAAACGTAGTCAATTTAGTTCATACGCTAATAAGGACTACTTTCATTAATCGAGAGGATGGCAGCATCATTATTAACTACACGAACGGTTTTCTCCGTCCTCCCCCTGATTGTGTTAGTAGTCCTTGCAATATTTTCAACACCTTCTGATGCTACTTTCGTAAAAGATAGAGCGATTAGAAAAGTTCCCATACAAACGCCACCATTTTTCGGGAACGATGATACCAGTATCGGCAATGGCAGCATGAAAGGGGATGATCCCCAATGCGCACATAATCCTCAAAACTGTCGTCCTTCCCCATCTGGAAACCCTTACCGTCGAGGCTGCTCGCCACTGGAACGTTGTCGGTGTTGCCGGAGAATGTTGCTGGAAGATCAACTTCAGATGTAATCTAGAGTTGCATGACTATTTGACCACGTCGAAAGCTCTTCGGTAGAAATGAATCAATGGATTGATTAACTGCATTCTTGTAACTTTGTAGGAGGATATAATTCAATATACCCTATTATTATTATTATTATTCCATTCTCATCTTTTTGTTTTTTGTGTACTAACAAATGAATCTATTTAAAAGTTACTACTATTAAATTTGTTAATCATAATTTAAACCGTTAAGTATCAAATTAAATGATAGCACATTTTACCTTACAGAAATATTGTACATTATTATTATTCTTATTTCTAAAAAGATCTTTTTTCTTAGAAGAATTGTTTGGAAAAATTGTCGTAGAATTACACCTACTGAAGCGCACGAAGCCTAGCTAGTGGAGTTTGTAACTTTTTCTACAGGATAGGAAAGGCAAAAGATTATTTGTATAATAATTTGCATGCAAATGAGTGGTCTTAGAAGTCGTATCAAAATGCCTAATACAAATCCTACACGTTAGTACCGCCAACTTAATGTGATAGGTTCCTAAAGAGTTGACCAAAGGCTGTAAATTTATACATAATACACTATGGTGGAGTATTAATCTAATTGGGGGGAAAGAGAAGCACAACAAACCTTTTAGGACTAAAAGTTTTCACATCTGGCTCCCGGGGATTGGTGTGTTTATTGATATCCTATCTTGTGTGGCGTGCTGAAAGTCTGAAACTTCTTCCCCAGTTCTATATTGTAGTGCAAGAGGTAGGTATGACCTTGGAACCGCTTATTCAAATTCCAGTGCCTGATGGAATAAGAATCCACATTTTAAAAAAGAACAATTGACTTTGATTTTTTTTTTTCTTTTTTTGCTCAAAAGATTCAATCGTAATGCCATGATAACACGAATTGTAACACCAAAAAAGGAAAAAAAAAGAAAAAAAGATCTTTATGTCCCATCCGTTTGCCTCATTCCCAAATTTCGTCAGATGGAATTGGATACGTAGTGTATTAATCATATCTAATATTCACTCCGGTCATTAATATTAGACATTTTAATTTTAGTCTAGGTTTCACCTAATATATATTTTTAATTAATGAAAAAATTTTAAATATATATTTTCACATTCGTTATATTTTTTTGATTATTATAAAATATTTTTAAGATTTTTTTACATTAAATATATGTACCAAATTAAACTTAAGATATATCAAAATATCTTATATTGAGGATCGGAGGGAGTTCTAATTTTCAACCTTGCTACTTGCAAGGTGTTATATTTTAAGCCGACTTGATGTCGCGTGCAATTTGTTATACGGAAATTTTAATTGTATAAATAGTCCAGAAACAAGCGAGCCACTTGTTAGACCATCAAAGATGGTGTCTGTACACATGTACATCTTACAAAACCTTGTTAACAAGAGGATATCTAAACTGTTCTTGAAATCCATTCAATAGTTACTAATGATGGGGACATCTGCTTGACAAAATTTCATACTTACTGAGCTGATGATAATTCCCATAAGATTGTTCCATCCTAACGGACCAGTTTGGCTCTAATTAAATATCCTATGCGTCTAAAGCATTTTCATTTGCAAGAATGCCATTAAAAATCTCTAGTCTCAGTCACTGTTTTCTTGTTTTCTCCAGACTATAATTTCCGGAATAAGAAGATGAAATCACTACTCCACTTCAATGTCACTGCCCACTGTTCAATTTTTTCTTCTCTACACGCAGTGCAACACATTGTATCACGCCAACGTCAAAAAATATCTGCGAATTTCGCCTTGGTTTTCATGATCCTTTCTTAGCATACTTAATTCTCCTTTCGATTTCCTTTTCCAACTCTTCCAGCCCACCGACCTTCTCCAGCTCCTGCATCAGTTGTGAATTCATAATTCTAGGTGTGAATCACAGTGTAGATTCATTATCTATTTATATCATACCAACACACGACCTAACAGACAGTATGAGAGGGTCTAGTTGAGGCCTGAGGGACAAACCTGAGGACCTAAGAACAACCCATACGGTACTCCTTTGAACTTCTCCGAATGATGAAGCTGTAATCCCAAACATCAAAACCAAACAAGATCAGAGTTAGGTTCAGTTGGGATGATAATACAATCAAATTGCTTTGGTTTCAGTCTATTCGCAATGCACATGTTTACATTATCAAACACCTCTTTGTATTTTCAACACAGCCTCATCGTTTTCCCAATAATCTCTAAAAATTATGCCAAAATGGCAGAGTGCCAAAACCACGTTCTAGCATATAAATGGATAATTGACAAGATACAGCATTAAATTATACTAATCGAAACCATGAAGCGACCAGTAATGTATACCTGATGTGCTGCAGCGACTCTCCTGAAATACGGAACATTTGCAATTGGACCAACCGGGAACCTCTTGTGAACGAGACCGTCGTGAACGAACATGTAAGCCATGCCAAACACTGTAATTCCAAGGCCCTACAACGCAAAAACAAAAATCGTGAGGTTATCCATGGGCAACCATCTCATAACAATGCTTACACCACCAAAACGTAACAATGAAGAGAAAAAAACAGCCAATACTTACAGCACCAAAACAGAGGCCAGGAATTAGGCCTTTGTGGAAGAAGCCATAAGAGAGCAGGGCTATCGCGGGGACGGCATTGGTTATGGCAAAAACGTCATTCAGTTCAAAAGGTCCTTCTCTTGGTTTATGGTGTGACTGCAATTAAAACGCAAATCATGCTACTGTCAGGGCGCAGTTAATTTTATTATTTATTTATTTTTATTTTTATTTTTTGGCTTTTTTCCTTCCTAGGAATAATAAAAAACTGAAAAAGAGGTCAAACTACGAAACAAGAAACTAATTGCCACTTGAATAGTTGAATCCCAAAAATGATTGTGCCTTTGATTGGTTAGAAAATAGGAATGGCCGGTGAGGGATAAACTTAAGGAGATAATCAACAATTAATTATCAACTAACTTTTGCATTTCCTCCATATCCAACCTTCCAGTTGACACAATTCATTAACACAGGAGAGAAACAGAGGTAAAGAACGAAGGGAATGGGAATTCAGACCTCGTGCATGTGCCATAACGAAGCGTGCCAGAGCGCTTCGTGAGCCCATCTCGCCCAGAATTCCATTCCTACCTGCACACAGGTTCAAGCACCCACAATTTGCCAGATTAATAATTTTCCATAAACCCCAAAATTGGACGAAAGAAAAGAAAATTGAGCTGATTTGGGATGGAATTATGAGAAGTCAACTTACAGCAGCGCCGACTGAAAGTGCAAATGTACCAAACATTTCCAAGTAAGGCACCTCTCCGCCCTATACCCACAATTAGCCGTGTAAAATATTAGTTCATCGGAAGTTATATATGCATACAATTCCCGGTAGCATAATTATATACACAGAGGGAGGTGAAATCAGAATTATTAGGTCGGTGTACCTCCATTTGCCATGAAAATCTATAATACACAGCTAGAACCGCCATGGAAGTAATCCCAAAAGTAGACATGACGGCGGCGACAAGATAAGTAAACCTCTCGGATCTCTTTCTGGCTAGTTTCTCCGCCACCCTTTTAGCGGAGATCTGTCTGGCCATCTCTTTCTCACGATTAAGGGCATCTGTATCCTCCTGGCCGCTTGTTCCCGCCGGAGATTGAAATTTTTCATCCTCAACGACGACGCAAACAGTCACCCTGGGCTTTCTGCGATGACTCAGAATGTTTCTAAATTGCCTAGCATTGGGGGAGAAAATTATGGTAGGCTTGCTGACGGAGGTGGGTTTTAAGCTAAGGAGTGGATTGAAGTGGAAACAAACGGTTCGAGTGACGGCGGCGGAAGCAATTCCGGCGGCCATATAGGTCGCTGCGTGCGGAATATGTTCAGTCAAAGAGATTGTGTAGTGGAACTGATGGGTTTGATTGAGAAAGCAAGATGATAGAGAGTTGAAATAGGAATGTTGAATTTGGGAGGTTTTGCTATTTTAGGCGGAGGCCTCAGGGCTCAGCGGGTTTTAGGCCTCCGAATCAGAGAACTTTTGTTTTGAGCAAATTGTCTGAAAACTGGAATTTGGCTGTTTTCTTTTAAGGTTATGGGGCTTCTGGGGGGTGGGGGTGGAGGCAGGTTAATTGCATTTAGACCACATGTTCTTTTTGTGGACATTCTATTTATACAGGTTTTAAATTGTAGGTCACTACGTACTGAATGTCCTCAGGCTTGCTTTTCATTTTTATTTTTATTTTTTTAATTTGCAAATTTGATAAATTTGACTATTTATTAGTATTTAACATTCTTTTTCACATTCTATCACTTACTCCTAATTTCATTTTGTTAAGCAACTGTATTGTGGCATCATCTGACCTCTCCCCATTTGAAAATGTTACTCCAATCTAAGAAATTTCCAAGATGATATTTACGTTGATTTATAAGAAGAAATTTTTACGATATATTTGTCGGGGTAGTTATTCCAAAATTTCCCGTTGAGTAAAGGATCTAGTCAACAACAACTGTTATTGCTTCTAGTTTCTCCATAATTAATGTATACTTTTTGGAAAATTTTGCTCCTACAATTTACACGTATGAAATGAAACTATGAGAAGTTTGCTTTTTTGACAGCTTCTAGCTAGTTTCTCGCATTGACTCGTACATAGGTCTACCGTGTAATATTGACATCCAAAACAAAGAACAAAGTACATGGTTGGTAGCGGTCATTCATTAATCTCGTTGGAATTTTAAGGACAATTTCTTTTTTTTATTTTTTATTTTTATTTTGAAACAACTGTGAATTAAGCTAGAAAATTTACTGCTTCGGAGTTAGGACTTAGGAGGACGGAGAATTCCCAAATCTTAAACTAAGCTGGATGATCAACATTTTTAACCATTTTTTTTTAAATGATGGAAAATAAATAGTAATGATTTTTATTCATCCCAAATTGATTGTTTGTACTAAGCGTAAAATTAAGTAATGATTTTAAAAGGGAAAATAGGCTTTTTCATCCCAAGGTTTTAGGCACACCATCTAAAACATCCCAAAGTTTAAAAGTATGTCATTTTCATCCCAAACTTTTCAAAAATATGTAATATTAGGACATTTGTTAATTTTTTCAAATTATTAACGGCGATATTTCATTCAGTTTCTTTTTTCAATTTTTTTTAGTCAAAAAATTTTCATACTTGCATTTGGTAAATTTGGTCTATTCCAAGCAAAAAAGTTGCATGCCCCTGCATCAATTACAATATCAATTTTTATAATGATGATACATATTTAAAAAAATAAATGAAATGGGGTTTACTTTCTAATTAGGACACACACAAAACTTCTCATTATTGTTATCAATCTAGAAGATGAATCTTAGATTTTTTTTCTCTTTTTCTAAGCAAGGGAAGAATGGATGATGTGAAAACCAAATTAGGTTTAGCTATTTTCTTATAAGGTGGGAGTTAGTGGAACGTGTTAAATGATTAAAAGAATTGGAGGCGGAGAAACAGAATAAAGTACCACCACTAATTAATTAACTGGAGTTAAAAATTTAACGAATATTCTAATGTAACATGTTTTTAAAAAGTTTGGGATATAAATGACATATTTTTAAACTTTGGGATGTTTTAGATAGTGTGGCCTAAACTTTGGGATGAAAAGACCATTTTCCCGATTTTAAAATGAGAACAATAATTTTATTTAATAGCACTATGGAAGTGGTGGGAGTGGGGGGGGGGGGGTTGCGGGGGCTATACAAAAAAAGAAAAAAAGATATGGAGGTGGATAAACCCGAATAGAATAAAGAGAGTAAGATCCAGATGGCCAAACGGCATAGGAAGGACTTGAGGTGGGGATGTGGCCGATCAAGATTGCGGTTGGACAAAACAGCGAATCACAGACAAAAAATTGACAGCGGTACCATTTTTTTATTATTTAATTTATTTCATTTTCCGGTATAAAGAAATCGTCGGAAAGTAATCGTGTATTTTTGTAGTGTAGCACTTGACAATTTCATGCTTTTGATGAGGACACGTCTCCCAAATATCTCTCTTGAGAGTTGAGACTTGAGAGTATGTTTTGTGTGCGCGACTCCCTCGTCACCCCTCGCTTACAAGTTACAACTTACAACCACTCCATTTTCTAAAACTCAGCCAATTTTGAAATAATCGTCCAGTTTATAATTTTATTTTTTATTATAAATTATATACAAAAATTTAAATAAAATAATCACATCAGGACGGAAATAATAATACTCTATCTATATACTAAAAAATGTCTTATAGAATAATAAAAAATATCTCAGTCTTTGTTTTTAAAAAAAATATGCTAAGAGTAATTTTATTTGGGATGGAAGAATGTTGTAACCAAAACTAATTTCTGTATGCGATCGAAAACAATATACGATCAACGGTCAAGTTATCAACATATGTTCTTGACTTGGCAGTTGGTACTAAAAAGTTGCCTCCCCCGGGTCCAATTTGGCATTCTCCTTCTTCCCAAAAGAAATTATATTAATAATAATAGCTATTTGGCATTCTCATCAACATATGTGTCCTGTGGCAGGGTTCAACTCTCGCTAGCAACACTTTGTTGAATTGTGTAAATTTTTAATTTGCATCCGTCAGGAGGTCTTCCAAATACCAGATCGAAGCGTGTTCGCGTGGAATTTCCCCTTAGAACATCTTTAGTGGTGGCTAATAAGAGGTAAATTACTATTCTACTACACTCATCACCATTGTATAGAACATAAAAAATTGTAACGATGTAAAGATTCTTACACGGTTGAATACATGGTTTAATAGGCCATCAAGTAATTAATACAAATTATTCTATTTATTTTTTTTAAAAAAAATTAGTGATAAAGTAGTGGGTCCATGTTCATTCAATAGTAAATTAATTATATTACACGTGTAAGACCAATGTAATAAAAAATTTAATGAAAGTGTAATATGGCAAAATGATGATTTGACATATTATTATATCCAACCATTGTGGATGATCTTAGTAATGCTATTCCTTCCCCGTAGACCTTACCCTTATATAATAGACCAGGCATTTGTATAATATATGTAAAAAAACATGTGTCCTGTGGCTTTTTAGGCCATCTAAGCGGTGAGCACTGATAATCTTTTATCGAAATTATTGTGTTATAATATTCCTAATAGAATTACACATGTCCTCCGAAGTTTGAACCCCCAACAGAACTAGTTTGATCAGCAATCAGGATAGAGCTTGATTTGAAGAAACATCTGTCATCTTTTTTTGGATTGATGATATGCTGTGCAATCTTACAAATTTATCTTCCAATAATTTGTACTAATTCGAATTGTTTATTGATGATTACTATTATTTGGTGGTAAAAAAAACCCCAGAAAAGCATGGTCGGCACTCGGTACTTTATTAGTAGCTAGATAGAATTGCAAATCAATTACGTAAGTGACACGCCTTCTTTTCTCCTAGCTTTTCCATTGTTCAACCATCGTTAATATGAGCTTTTCTGGACAACGATTGAATTAAAGCACCAACAACACCAGAGTCATGGATTTGTTAGGCCCTCCCATTTGAAGAATACCAAAGTAATGGGCTCCTGGGTCCATAGGACCACTGAATTATGTAGATTGTTGCATATGCCAATTGCCACGATGACATGGACGTCATTAATTGAAGCTATTGTAGCATTTCATTTTGAGGCGTTTAAGGATTCGTCAACATTCAACATCAACCGTCGACCAGACCAAGACCTGTGTTGAGTGAAAGAAACTTAAGAGGCGTTTGTTTTATCAGCCGAAAATAGATTTGAATGATGAAAAATGGATTTGAATAATCAGGGATTCACAAATCTAATAGTATCGTTTGGTTAAATATATGGATTGATTTAAATAATTTTTTTTCCAATTTTACCATTTTTAATTATTAAAAAAATTACGATCCTCTCTTCCTCCTTTGTCTTCACGTTTTCCACCGGCCACTACTTTCCCACAAAGAACTACTATCCGAAATTTGAACAAACGCCACCTCCATCCACCCTCATCATCTACCTTCACTCTGCCGCCACTGTCGCCAACAACGATCTAAATCTGAACTTCCCACTTGCGCCAACTACCTTCATTTCTTGTCCTTTCTAATACTCGAGCTTTTCATCGTTGCCAACAATTTGGGAAGGCATCAAATCAAACCCCAGATCTATGGATGATGGCACGAGAAGAAAAGAAATTATGGGCTTAAAACTTCAGCCGCCGATGATAATGACATCAATCAAGATCTTCGGAGATTAAGATGAGGAGGAGAGATAAAATAAAAAAGAATCTGATTTACTTCTGTTTGTGATTTTTTTTAGAAAAAAAAAAAGATGAAAATGATTTGAATCCGAATCCAGCGAATCTCTGGGAGGAGGCCGGATTGAAAAACTCATTCCGAATCTGATTCCTTGAATCCGTTTCTGGTTCCGGCTAAACAAACAATAAAGTGAATCACGAATCCTAATCCTGACTCCGATTCCGGACAAACAAACAGCTCTTTACTAAAGTTTCTCAATTCTTTTGAGTAGACAAATCCAGTCTCTTTCGAGTAGAAGAAAAACTCAAGACTTATGTTGAGTAGAAGAAAAACCTCTTTACTAAAGCTTTCCAATCTCTTTTGGATTTTGTAGTGATTTTACATCTTTTAATCGGATATCAATTAATTCAACAAAAGGTTTAACTCATACTCCTACCTCTTTTACTAAGCTGTGGAATCTCCTTTTGACTTTGTGGTAATCTTAAATTTTTTAATGTTATATTCCTTTCATCCCAGTGTTAACCCGTTTGAGTTTCATTTTTAATTTAAATTATATTTAAATGTGAAATATTAAATTAAACAATAATTTTGAGACAGAACCAATATTTTTTTATATACGGACACCACTTTAAATATGAAAGAGAACACATCAAAACGGTCAGGGTTACTGTTTCCGTCCAAAGAAGTTGTTTGTCAGAATGTTTTTTATTCTCAATGCTAGAAGGTTAAGGAAGCATCACAAAGACATGAACGTCACACTTCGAAACGTGGAAGCCTGGAAGCAAGTAATTATCTCTTGTTCCTGAATTTTTCCTCTTTACAAAAAAAAAAAAAAAAAAAGGAGACAAAAAGTTTCTGATAAGACACATACATGGCCCAATCCCATGACCACAAATGACAAATTCAATTTACCACATTAGTGACCAAATCAATCTACTAACTCCGGCGTGTTTAACCAAATTGACCGCAGGATCAACTTCGTGGACCTTGATCATACAGACGGTCGTTTGAAGTTCTAAACCAGTGATCAACAAATTCACGATCGGGAGTGAGATGAATACTCTGATTTTGGCAGATTTCTTCAGGTGAATTTCGACGAGAAATCGCGCTATCGATCATAAATTTCCCTGAGAGTTTTGATTAGGTTGTGCCCTGATCAGTTTCAGTTTCTGTATAGGAAGAAGTTGCTGATTTGGCATCATTCAGTAACAAGTCCCGGGGCTCCAGCATGTGGATCACGTCTCCCATATTAGGCCTGTTACTGGGATCTGGATCCACACAACGAAGTGCTATCAGAACAATTCTCTTCAAATCCACCAGCGATGGCATTGCAGGCAATCTTGGGTCCAAAACTTCATCTAATCTCCCTTCAGACACCATGTTTTTCATCCAGTCCACCAGATACTCCTGCAAATCAGAAAAAAAAAATAAAAATAAATAAATTTCACATTCTAACCTATCCTGTTTTCATATTCATGAACTAAACAGAGAAATCTTCTCGCAGAACACCAATACCTGTATATCATCTGGAAAGTATTGCACTGGAGTCCTTCCAGACACAATCTCCATAACAAGTACCCCGAAGCTGAACACGTCGCTTTTGACATCCAAAAGGAATGAATTATACTCTGGTGCTATGTAACTATTCAGGATAATACAATCAGAAGCCAAGTTAGTAACGGTGTAATACGAACAAAGTGAGCAATTGGATGGAAATCAAAGAATATGAACTAACCCTGACATTCCGAGTGGGGTAGTAAGATCACCATTTTTATCAGGACCTAAAATCTTGGAGATTCCGAAATCAGATATCTTGGGATTCCATTGTTTGTCAAGGAGTATGTTGCTTGATTTCAAGTGTTGGTGTGGGATTGCATTATCACAGTCTTCTTGCAGGTAAGCCAACCTAATACAATACATTCATAATAAAGGAGTTATCCACAACGAACAAAACAAATCCAATTCTTTGATAAATTCATAATAATGGCAGAGAGTGCCATCACACCCTTTAGCAATTCCTTGAATGATGCCCATCCGGATTTTCCATGTGAGAGGACTAAGTTTGCACATTTTCTCATGCAGCCACTCTTTGAGATTCCCATTGTCCACGTACTCGGAAACCAGCAAACTAATTATATCCAAATCAAAATTTTGTAGTACACTGATCATCATTAGTAAAACAATCTGAATATATATATATATATATATATAAATATTTTTTTGTTCCCAAGCTCAAATTGAACTGAAATATAAGCAAATTAACCTGAACATTCCCTCTGTACAATATCCAAGCAATTTCACCACGTTCTTGTGTCTCATACACCACAATAACTCCACTTCCGCCGCCAAATCCTTCGTTCTGGCACTGCAAACAAGTTTTTCCAGAATAACTTCACAATTTGTATGGTATTTCCTCCGTCCCGAAATTATTGTACAGTTTAGATTTTTATGTTTAGTACAAACTGAACTAAAGGTGAAAATTTAAACTGGACAAAAATTTTGGGATGGAAGGAGTATATTGAATTGTAGTAATATGTGAGCTTTACCTATTAGCTAGTAATTTCTTGATAGCTACCCGGGTATGATCAAACAGGTATCCCCGATAAACAACTCCATAATCCCCACTTCCCATTACGCAGTCATCTCCAAACCAATTAGTGGCTACTTCCATCTCATGCAGACTATATACTTTACCAAATGATGACGGGGTTCGCTGATGACGAACCGGGAGTGCCACGGCGGCGCGTGGGTCGTAATGCGCCACCTGTTTTCCCGGTTTCGTATCAATGCACATCTCGATGTCCCAACCATTACGCGACAGGAGGCGCTTGTTCATCATTCCCGGAGACACCGATGAGTTCTTCTTGGAGGTGATCACGTGTTTAGTTGAGAAGCTGGGGTACTGATCACGGCGGGGGCGGCGGCGTTGGGAGATTGAGAAGCAGCATATGGTGATGGATAAAGCTAAAACGAAGCCTGTAGCGATGCAGATTACAATTGCAACCCATAATTTAACGCCGAAGAAAGAAGTGGGCTTCAAGAGCTTGTCATGGATGGAAGATATTAAGGACATGGTCGTGATATACTAGTATATATATTTATATATTTTTTTTCTTCCAGAACAGGACTATGGAGTTGAGAAACTTTCACCTAAGTTGAAATTCTCAGCAAAGTAAGAGAATGCTTCATTACTTGGCTCTCTGTTTTGTTCTCCGTTGCAGAATTCAAAATTCAATTACAGTTGTGATGAATCACCCACCTTATCAGGCGGGAATCAAGAGTTATCCACAACTGCTCAAGCATATCTTTTTTAACAAAAAAAAAATAAAATTTGTTGCAGATGAATCCTTCTTCTTTTTTTTTTTTTTTTTTTTTGAGCAACTTTCACCAAGGTTTGTCAAGAGTACAACTACACAGTTTATGACATGCGTTTGATGATTTCTTGAAGCCGAATGAAGTCAGCGTGTAGATGTTCCTCCGAAACTTTGTTTGCTTCTTGTGATCGGAGAAAAGGATTTTCAGTTTCAGCAGAGCTACATGTTGATGCCAGACTGTGAAAAGTTGTTTACCCCAAAAGCAATGCTAATATTCCTGGCAAATTTTTGTGATGCCTAGACTAACTAATTAAATGTTCCCATCCATTTAACTACTGTTACATTAACTTTGTATTCTATGAACGCCTGCTTCACTATACATTTCCCGAACCGACATTCTCTGTTTCTACATAGGATAGAACATCAGATAAACAGTTGGCCTCTATATTCTAAGGCCGCTCAAAAATGGGCTTCCAATGGTATGCAGATATGTTCAATGTCTCCATTAAATGGGGTCGTGATTGGGTGCAGCTTTATCTCATATAGCTTTGGCCATAGTTTTCCAGTCACTGCAAAAGAAACATCACTTGTAAGGTACAAAATGCGATAGTTCAGAAGATGAGAAACACAGTGATAGTTGTATAACTTAGGAACTAGACCAATCTGGACAATGCCCAGGAAAGCGCAACTCTACGCAAGAATTTTAATTCCTTTCCTCTGCAGCATCATTGAAAACTAGAATGTGTAGTTGGCACTCTTCATGAAAGCATCTGAGGTCGCTACTTATCGGTAACATAGTTTAAGAGTTGCCAAAAGTGCCAAATTCAGACTAAATCATTTCGAGGACTTACCAAAAAGTCGGTTGTTTTCTTCATCCCAAGCTATTCCATTCAAGACATCAATTCTCTGCAGGATGGCGGAGAAAATATCAGTCATGGGCTTTCATAATAATTTTTTTTTTTTTGGGTTGAAAAAGCTTTCATAATAACAGAGGTGCAACCAAAAAAGCTTACCCTACTTCCAGCAGCAAGTAACCCTTCCCTGTAACAACACCAATGACGTTTACACAGTGAATTCGAAGTTTCAGTATAGCATAATCTGATAGCAAGCGTTTTGAAGTTAACCTTTCCTTTTTGAGAGGTGAAGAAAACAAACCTTAAATTAGGTAGGAGAACCCACCCCAGCACGGTACCATCAGTATATGAGATTCTAGCAATGCAGTCAGTCTGCACATCATGGGAGACTATGATTTCTCTTGGTATTGTGAGATGACAAATTAAGCTTTCACTTCTTCAATAAAAACCTTGTTCATGATGCACAAAAAACAACAGAAGCATAAAGATGTCTGTACACAAAAGTGCAAACATATGTACCTGCCAAACATTTGCCCAAACTTCACCATTTACATACTCTAATTCATTGAGATTGGGTACTTCACGTCCTTTATATCTAACAATTTGTTTTGCAGTAACTGCGTCGAAATAAAAGTTAAAAGTCAAATATTCATTACCAGAGCAAACATATTGAAAAAGCAAATTTGAAGTACTAGTTTCCGCAACAAGTAGCAGAAAATGCATTCATGAAATATAGCAGATTAATACGCCCAACAGACGGAACAGTAGCCTTTGAAGAAAGTAAGTTACATGAACACTTTAATAGTAGAAACCTTTCATTGTTTGAGGATCAATCTGATAAAGGGTTGACGATCCATCCGTCCCAAACAAAATTTTGCCATCCGTTGTCAAACCCCAGCCATCTTTCATTTGATGGGTGAACTTCTCGAACTGTAGAAAAGAATTCTGAGTGTGAGTGTGAAAATAACAGGAAAAGCATGAAAAACACAAAGCTGCAACCATAGATATTTACTAATTCTTCAGGTTGAGTACAACAGAGGTCTGTGAACAATACAGCAATGTTTCTTGAGATTCGCAACTTCTTTGACAATATCTATGTATACAAGATCTAGCTTATCATATTTTAATTTCAATGAACGTACAAGACGATTTCAAGCAATAATCATCTCACTTGAATTAAACAAGCAATGATCAATATAACACAGGACAGAAGCTCCAAGTGGAAACAATAAGAGAGGTGCTGAATACAAACTATTATATACTTTGTCACCTTAATAACTGCCTTTCAAAGTTCTTTACTAAGGAAGCAGAACCATGTCAAAAACTAAATTTTCAAATCACTGTAAACTATACTGCTAGTTTCTTGTCTGGAAAAAAGGTATAAAACTTGACTTCATTACTCTAGAAAGCTAAACACCTTAAGGCCTTACTAGCTGCAGGAAGAAACAAAAAATAACAGACAAATCAAGTCTAGAAGGAAAATTTAGCTGTCAAATGAAATTAAACATTTTGATTGAACTAGTTAGTTTTTAATACTCTACATGAAACATCAAGTAACAGCTAACATGACTATGTATGCAATTTCCGCCTCAGTAAAAGTTTATTATTCAGCATGTACAGAAAGGTAAATAAGAGAAAATCTTATTAAGAGGCAAAGTTTGAAGCACAAACATTGCTCAGATTATTTCGGTCATAGCTGAAACCAGTTTTCTGCAACCAGGTTACTTGATACAACCTACAAAAGTAATTACCCGTCATCAGTGAAAAGCATTTTAAGATTCAGCTTTCAGAATCTGAGACGGGGACGAAAAAAAAAAAGAAAAATAAATTGATAATAAAATGAACGAACAAATAAGTGCATTTAGCATTAAGAAGAACAGATTACCACAAAAAAAAAAAAAAAAAACCCTAGAAGAAGCTAAAGTTCCATATATATTTTACAAAGGGGCAAAAGTATCTAAACAAAAGTAAGCTCCAGTGGATCAACTGTCTCCTGAGCTCCTCAATGTAAACTGAATTCTGAACTTAGTTAAGTTGATTTGTGAATTTATAACTCATGACAAAGGAATAAGAATCATTTCATATTCTCATTAACTTCATTCTTAATCGAAAGCAGACAAAACCTTGTATACAAACCTTTCTCCAAGAAGAGTTAAACCTTCTCCAAAATAAGAGTAGTCCATTTTTTGAATAACTTGAACCTGAAAGGCCAGATTAGCAGTTTATCAATTCCACAAGAAAGTAAGGCTGGATTTAGCAAACTATTTCCAATCTCTGCCAATAACAGATAAATCTTTCCCACTTCATTCTCCAAAAAGGCCAACACTGATTAATATAACTTATTGCCATCAAAACCTTCCTAACCACAATGACTAAAATTTACTACTTAGAGCTGAATCAAAATATTACATACCTTCCCCGTCTGAAGTGTTACTTTCCGGACAGATGACTGCATCAGAAGGAAAAACAGTAAAAGAAAAAGGTCAGAGTAATTAACACACAGATGCAGAAGTTCAGGGATGTCTTCGATATTGATTAAAAGTGCAGAAGTTAATCACGTGTTAAATAAATTTATGAAAATTTTCATTAACATGAGGAAAATGGGCACAAAAAACGTTTACTATCAGCAACTGAATCAAAATCAAATAATTATAAGTCATTGAGTTTTTTCCTTTCAATCTTTGCAATTTGAACCTGGAATTTTTCAGGGAAACAGGCTTCAACAGCTATGTCACCGCAACCCCAGTGACATCTATTCTTCTTCTTTTTCTTTTTTTTTTTTATGGATAAACTCCCCAGTGAGATCTCTTCATTTCAAACTCATGATAACAAATACATTGGGGGATCTCACACATCAGTTAGCACTTAGCAAATAAAAAAAGGGACAAGCACACCAGGTTTCAGGTATTCCTCCCTAATACGTAACAACCAACTTCAAGCATCCTCCCCCAACACAAGGAGCCCTTTTAAGTACGACGCAATTGCATATGCTTCACAAAATTAAATGATCTGGAGTAAGTGTGCGAAGACTCACTTGTCCATTAAGTCCGGTTGACTCAAACAAAGTATCGTTTCCGGCATACAAAAGGCCCTGGAAGGAACAATAGTAGCAGCATCAATGCACAGAAAACGTAATATGAAGATTATGCCAAACAGTTTTCGGGAAAAGTCCCTAGTTAACATGCCTTGACAATCTAACAAAATACCATGAATAAAACTCACAAACAGTATCAGATTCTACAAACCATCTCCGAATTCCAATCCTAAATCAGAACTAATAAACTATCAACGCATGCATCAAGGCATGAATATATGTGGACAAGGACAGTACATTATAGACCTCAGTAAACTAGGACAGTAATCAAAATGAAGCAAAACCCGAACGCTCTGAATCCAAAAATAGCAGCAACAGAGGATAAAGAATTGAATAGCTGAGCTAGAAAAAACTGAACCTGAGTGAAGGCTTCAGGGTCGTGAGGGAATTCGTTGATCACTTCCACTGTGTGAAGATTACTGGATTTGACACTTGATTCGAAGGCGGGAGGAGAGCTATAAGTAATGTGTAGTACAACAATCAGGCCACACACCAAAGCAAAGGAAGTCAACAAGAATATATTTCTCCGGTGTTTGAGATAAAACGACGACGCAGGAGAGGCCATCGATGCCGTCGACGCATGCAGTTGTGTTTGAGGCTCGGGCCCCTTTGAACTCGAAATGGGTCTCTTGCTAGATTTTTTCCTCGCCGATCCACTAGCCATTGATGTCACTTGTCATTGATCCCAAACCGGAGATAATCGCCTCGCCGGCGGGATGTTCCCGGCAACTTACCGCCCGCCTCGTGACAAAACGCAGCTGGAGCCCTTGGTCAACGCGGCAATTTTTAATTTTATTTTTGTTTTTTGAACAAATTTTGATTTAGTTATGAAAGAAACTTTACAGATTTATTATCGCGACTGGGGGCGTGTCGGCTGGTTGATTTTGTACACCCAGTAATTTAGTAGATTTTTGCCCGTGGCCAGTGGGTCCAAAATCCAAATCCATGTAAATTAGGGGATCTCACTGTATTTCTCGTTATCTTTTTCAAGTCCTTTGAATTTGTGGGAAGTCGCTTTTCAGTCATGAATTTTTAAAGTATGTAAATGACTAGTGAGCCTGTAGGCCGTAGGCCCAAATCTGACCCAAGAATTTGGGCCCCAATTGGACCATTCATTGTTGTTTGTGGAATTAGTTAACACTTTATTTTCTTTCTATTTATATTAGTTGAAAATACACTACTACATACAGTGCTACTTTATGCTTGAGTTTTTTTTTTTTTTTTTGTATTAGAATAAAAAAAATTTGGGTACAAATATTTTTTCTTCGAAGTTAATAATTTCTTAATTCTTCAACCGTAATTCAGATAAGCAGGTTCCAAAACGTAGGTACATGTATTTTTCTGCGAGCCAAACGCAAGCAAGGAAAATGTCAAGGGGATATATAGTTCAAACATTAAGGACGGAAGACGACGGTCCATATTAGGTATGTTTTCATGTGGTAGCCCATGGGCGTAATGCCTGGAGAACATTCCAGAACAGCACGTACTTTAGCAGGGAAATAATTCTTTTCTTTTTTTTTGGGTGGGGAAAAAATAATTCCAAATATAAAATCTCTTACTACTAGTTTTTCTTAATAATAAAGAAAAATGATGAAATTGTTACCTATTATTTCCTTTCCCCTAAAACTTAATCGTGAAATTTGTCAAAAACAATAATAATAATCACGAAGCTAATATATTTTTACGAAATAAATATAACAAAAAGTTTATAACCTTTACCTTTCGCAACATTCTAATTGTGGACAGAGATATTTTTAAAAAGAGAAACCAGACATTTTTTTTCTCTAATTATTCCTTGCTGTTAATTAAACAAACACCCCCAAAAAAAAAAAAAAAAACAAAAAAAAACGAGACAAGGAGTGAAAAGAAAACAAAGCCTTATTAAGATTTTAAATTGGTTCTGGAGGGGAGTGGAAGAGTCGAGAAGCTCGAGATTTTCGGGGGAGTTTCCCGCTTAACAGTTCACACACTCCACCTGAGAAGGTCCTAGAAGGCTACAACCCATCCCACCGTCCCAAATTCCCCTTTGATATATAACCCCCGCTCTCCTTTTCGTTCTCCTCAGGAAAAGTTTCTCCCGTGTTCTGATCTCGAAATTCTATTGCCATCTTCATACATTCATCCAAGCTTCTTCGAATTTTTGCCGTTCTAAATCATTGTTCGGTGGTTACAAAGTCCGGCAGTTGAGAAATAATGGCGGACGTTCAGATGGGCGAAACCGAGACTTTTGCTTTCCAGGCTGAGATCAACCAGCTGTTGAGTCTGATCATCAATACTTTCTACAGCAACAAGGAGATTTTCCTCAGGGAATTGATTAGCAATGCCTCCGATGCTTTGGATAAGATCCGGTTTGAGAGCTTGACTGACAAGAGCAAGCTTGATGCCCAGCCAGAACTCTTTATTAGGCTTGTGCCTGATAAGGCCAACAAGACTCTCTCCATCATTGACAGTGGCATCGGCATGACCAAAGCTGGTAAGCCTTCGCTCTTTCTAATTTAGTGTTTGTCTATTAAGCATTTAAGCTGTTGACGTTTATCGCTGATCTTAGTGTTGTCATTCATTGAGCTGTTGCTGGTTTATTGTATACCATGGCGTAATGTTGTTTCCTCTTTTTTGTTGAGATGAATCTGCTTTAGTTCAGTTTGGAAATCATGATTATTTAGGCGATAATTGTGCTTATGCTTGTTATCTCAGATTGTATGGAAGAATTCAGTGGACTACTTTTCTAGACAAATGTGGGTAGAATAAAGTAAAATCATGAGGGGAATTTTAATAGACTTAATTTGCAGTAGCCTAATTTCAGTTTATTTGGCTTAATTGTTCAACAGATTTGGTGAACAACTTGGGAACTATTGCAAGATCTGGCACGAAAGAATTCATGGAGGCATTGCAGGCCGGTGCTGATGTAAGCATGATTGGCCAGTTTGGTGTGGGTTTCTACTCTGCCTACCTTGTGGCGGAGAAAGTTATTGTGGCCACAAAACATAACGATGATGAGCAATACATCTGGGAATCCCAAGCCGGTGGCTCTTTCACTGTAACAAGGGACACTGAAGGCGAGCAACTTGGCAGGGGAACTAAGATCACCCTCTTTCTCAAAGAGGATCAGGTAATTGTTGATTCATCATCTGATGAAATGTTGTTCTGAACGTTTACTTCAACTTATGATGAATAATTGTAGCGTTTTATTCTCTCAATAATTGGTTAACTATGGTTGAGCATATGTTTTCTTGAAATTTGGCTAAGTCAGTTTGATGGAGATGCTGAAATTTATATTGATATGTGCAGTTGGAATACCTTGAGGAAAGGAGGATCAAGGATCTTGTGAAGAAGCACTCTGAATTCATTAGCTACCCAATCTATTTGTGGACGGAGAAGACAACTGAAAAGGAGATCAGTGATGATGAGGAAGATGAACCCAAGAAAGAGGAGGAAGGTGATGTAGAGGAAATTGACGAAGACAAGGAGGAGAAAAAAGGCAAAAAGAAGAAAATCAAGGAGGTTTCTCATGAGTGGCAGCTCATCAACAAACAGAAGCCTATCTGGTTGCGCAAGCCTGAAGAGATTACCAAGGAAGAATATGCCTCTTTCTACAAGAGCTTGACCAATGACTGGGAGGACCATCTTGCTGTCAAGCACTTCTCTGTGGAGGGTCAACTTGAATTCAAAGCAATCTTGTTTGTGCCAAGAAGGGCTCCGTTCGATCTTTTCGACACCCGCAAGAAGCCTAACAACATCAAGCTGTATGTCCGGAGAGTGTTCATTATGGACAACTGTGAGGAACTTATCCCTGAATATCTCAGTTTCGTCAAGGGTGTTGTTGACTCTGATGACTTGCCACTGAACATCTCACGTGAGATGTTGCAACAGAACAAGATCCTCAAGGTGATCAGGAAGAACCTTGTGAAGAAATGCATTGAAATGTTCAATGAAATTGCAGAGAACAAGGAAGACTACAACAAGTTTTATGAAGCATTTTCAAAGAACCTTAAATTGGGGATTCATGAGGACAGCCAGAACAGAGCTAAGTTGGCTGATTTGCTTCGCTACTACTCAACCAAGAGTGGTGATGAGCTGACCAGCTTGAAAGACTACGTTACCAGGATGAAAGAGGGCCAGAAAGATATCTACTACATTACTGGTGAAAGCAAGAAAGCAGTTGAGAACTCTCCTTTCTTGGAGCGGCTGAAGAAGAAGGGCTATGAGGTGCTGTACATGGTGGATGCTATTGATGAGTATGCCGTGGGACAATTGAAGGAATACGATGGTAAGAAACTGGTGTCAGCAACCAAAGAGGGCTTGAAACTTGACGATGACAGCGAGGAAGAGAAGAAGAAGAAAGAGGAGAAAAAGAAGTCATTCGAGGATCTGTGCAAAGTCATCAAGGACATCCTTGGGGACAAGGTGGAGAAAGTTGTGGTCTCTGATAGGATTGTGGACTCTCCATGCTGTTTGGTAACTGGTGAGTACGGATGGAGTGCAAACATGGAGAGGATCATGAAGGCTCAGGCCCTGAGAGACAGCAGCATGAGCTCTTACATGTCCAGCAAGAAAACAATGGAGATCAATCCTGACAATGGCATCATGGAGGAGCTCAGGAAGAGAGCTGAGGCTGACAAGAACGACAAGTCTGTCAAGGATCTGGTTCTGCTGCTCTTCGAGACAGCCCTTCTAACTTCTGGGTTCAGCCTGGATGATCCCAACACATTCGCATCAAGGATTCACAGGATGTTGAAATTGGGTTTGAGCATTGATGATGCCGAGGATGCTGGTGAAGATGATGACATGCCTGCGTTGGAGGAAAGCAATGAGGAGAGCAAGATGGAGGAAGTTGATTAAACTAAGAACTTCTTGAAATAGTTTCGTTTGTCCATATAAGCCATAGGTCCTGAGTCCTGAATCCCCCAAAGCATTAATGTGTCCTTTTTTGTCTCTTAGTTACGGATCATGTGAGTGTTGTCACTATCCATTTTGTCATATGTTGGAAAATAGGAGACTTCTTTTGCACACTGCACTTAAAAACGTGGTGTAATCTTTTGTTACTAATGCAACTAATTCTTGATTTTGTGCCTTAAAATTTTGTGAGTATGAGTTCTTATAGAATGGTGATCTTTGTAACACAGAGCACCTGGGCCAAGCATACAGTAGTACTCCTATATTATACTGTGTGGTACATTAAAATAAAGAGGAACACCAAACAGTATCACTAACGAGTATGACAACAAAAGGTGTTATGGTCCCTTCTGTAATCCAAAGCGATGTTTAATGTATGATCGGACTGCACAAAAATGCTTATAACGTGATTTTGAAACTAAACAGAAAGGAATGGGACAAAGGGGGAACGAATTACAAGACCAAAAAATAAAGTAAAATCAGGGGATTACGGCCGTACTAATAAAGGCCTATTTAGAGTTGCAGTCCAACCAAAAGGCAGGTTTGTAAAAAGTTTTACTTCTTGACCACGGAAGGAAATCTGACAACGCGCCTGTGAGTTTTTGGCATTATACCCCTGCCCGGAAAATAACTGCTCCGGCTAGAGTGACGTCGGACAGTGGTTGCCGGACGAGTACAGTGTCGTTACACTTACATTTTGCGATTTCAGCACTACTTAAAAATTTCCTCCACCGTGGATTAGGTCGGCGAGCTAAGCAACGGAGAATTTCAATCAACAATCCGGCGGACAGCTGGTTGATTACACTCGCCAGAGAAAGGTGGGTGACCTAGGAGGTCGTGCCGCGTTTCCTTCTTTGTAGCAGCAGTACCATCAATCATCTGCTTCATCGAAACTCTGAATTTCCATTTCGAGTAACCTAAATGAAAAAAGAAATTTAGGCTTACTCTTAATTTCAATCGTTGATTTTTGCTTTTTTCTTAGCGTTGGAAATTCCGCTTTTCCCCTCTGAAAGAAGCTTGGGTTTTTTTACTTTGTAGTGTTCCAGCGATCACATTGCGTGTTGACTGCAGAGATCTTTTCCTTGAGGGTGACGGAGTAGAGATTGCTGAGAGTTTCCGTTCAAGATTTCCTTCCTTCTCTGCAGAAACGCTTGCAATTACTTGTTAAAGAAAAATGAGCTCTGAAATTGAAGACTCGGACTCCGAAGCGCACTCCAATGGGTTCCAAGAAATCGTGAAGAGAAAGAAATTAAAGTAAGAAATTAACTCAATTTTGAGATCCTTACTTTTTGTTTCCATTTTATGACCCTGTTTTTCCCTCTCAAAAATCACTCCCTATTTGGTAAGCTCCCAGCGAGAATTTAGGTCTTTTTTAGTTCGATCTTGTTCTATTGAATCGGAGAAGGCGCTGGAACTGACGAAGCTGCGTTTGATTTTGTTTTTCCCCCCTTGCAGTTGGTTAAAGATTAGGTATTCGAGAGCATTTCTTTTGACGATTGCAAAATTGGATATCTGTAAACGACCGCCGCCTGGAGGGATTAGTCCATCGGTCTTGTTGTAAGCTACAAACTTCATCCCTTTTTTTCTTTGAAAATCATTCTCCACTGTTCGTATATTCTTCGCTGGCTGAATCAATGTGTATGCTGTGTGCAAAATCAGGGAAGTTGTGGATGATACACCTAGGGATTTTCATGAATCATGGGGGCGAGTTGGGGATTTGTCTGCGGACAGTAAAATTGAGAATTGTTCATCACAAGCCTTCAAGCGAGGATCGGTTTTGGGACAACCATATTTGGTGAAACCTCAGTGGCTGAATGGAAATGGAGAGAGCAACTCACACAAATCTCGTAACTCAGGTCTGTAGCATCCATTGAGTCGGAGATGTAGCTTTTCAGTATCAAAACCAACGTAGTTTAACACATATACAGAGGTTTTGCAAGTAAACAAGGACCTAAACTTTCAGACGATAAGTCTAAATGGGTGTCAGTTTATAGTTCAGTCATTATTAGCTTGGAAAAAAAAAGCATTTTCTAATGGAGGTATGCTTTGCATCATTTACCAGATGCACCTCAATACAGAGATGGGATTTCAGATCAATGCGACAAAGAGGCCCCAAAAATTGGTCCTTACCAGCTTCGTAGAAGTGCGAACCCCTATCGCCCACCACACTGTCATCAGGTCTGTTTTGATTTTGGCTATGGCTTCATTCTCATTTATCTGGATCGCTTTAATGTTGACATGATGATATATTTGGGATAAACAAATGAATTGCAACATGGGGCTACTTGAAAGCAGACTTATGATTTCCATGATTTGCCGAATCCTTCTGGATAAAAATGTTGTTAGATAGCTAAAGTCATATATTTCTGCTTAGTGCATTGCTGTATGTCTACAGTGTGCTTTCTGAATGACGCAGTATGTTTTTTCGACTGCAGGTTGGCAACGCCAAATTTGAAGAGGAATCCCTTCGTAAGAAGCACAATTCCTTTCAAGAGATACACTTAACCATTCAAAAAGAAACCTGTCCAAGAGCTAGCAATGTATCAAGAGATAAAGATCAAGAGATTAATCTTCCAAGTGAATCTGTAACCGAGCCTAGTAGTAATCTTTCAACTAACTTGCCTAATGCTGCCAAAGTAGAATCTGACATGGGATGCTCTCCCAATCTGCATGTCTGTGCAACTGAGACCTTGGGAAGCAGCCTCAAAAGTTCAAGAGAGAAAGAGTCGGCGATTTTGGAAACAAGGGATGATGACAAGCCAATTTCTGATATTCAATTCAATCACTTGTGTCGCTTTGCAGCTCTCCACTCTGGCAAAAAAGGAGCAGCAGAGAGCACTAAAAGCATTGACGATTCAAAGCCCTATGAATTTTCTTTTTTTGACGCATTTGATTTCTTGACCCCAAATGCTGATGAAGGTACTATTACTTTTGAAGACGTTTGGTCTGAGGTATCAGCAATACTGAGGTTCGAGCGAGAAATGGATCTCACTTCAGAAGCTGAGTATGGTGAAACTGCAGAGTATGAAATTCTGGCGAGTTTACTGGATGAGGGTAGTGATATCTCAATTTCCTGTCCACCAAGTTGTGAACCCAGCAAAGGATACAACTGCGGTTACTGTGCTGCTGCTGATGCTTATGCTGAGACCTGTTTGCCTGCTGACGACAACTGTGATGATAATGCCAATTCTGATGCTGATATCTGTTTGCCTGATGAGCACAACTCTGATGATAATGCCAATTCAGATGTCAATATCTGCTGGCCTGATGAGAACAGTTTATTTTCGATTGACGATATGATTGCTCTTGATTCTTGGAGGTCAGAAGATACTAACACCCAAACAAAAAGTGACACTTTGACATCGGACCCAACAGATAGATTTGCAAAGGGATCAGTGGCAGTGGATACTTCACCCCATAAAAAGAGATCCGCTCTTCAACATTCGGCAGTTTCACCATTCCGTGGTACCAAAGCACCATTGCTTCATCAGAAATCGCCTGTGCAGCAAGCTTACCAGAGCCATTGGACTACTTCTGCTGTTATACGTCCTTTGCACTACCAGCAAACTGAGATCGCACTCCAAATGCCTTTAGTGGCTCCCGTAGCACTCATTCCTTCTGGAGTTAACTGGTATTCATGCGCAAATATGCATAACCAACCTTCAACAGAAGAATGCAAAGTCGTTCATCAGTACTCTTTGTGGCAACAGCCTTCTGCTTTCTTGATTGCCTATCAATGTTGATCATCTTATCCTCGTATTAGCTATCAAACTGGTTTCTGGGTGTAGCTTGGGACTTGACAATTGACATGAAACAGACCACCCTGTTCCGTTTATCACACATTAATTCTGCCTTCAATTAGAGATGGTTCATAGTCTTCTGTTAATATTTTCTAGCTCTGTTTTCGTAGGAATAAATGGCATACCTAAGAAACTACTGCATGCTTAGGATATGTTCTTTACTTGATTGCAAAGTCATTTTTCAGTTCTTGATGGTGCTGGCATGCTGGGGTTATGTCAATTGAGGTACAAGCTGTTTTCTCATAACTTCAGTAATTGAAGCGGGGTTTAACAAGCAACCTTTAACTCAAGACATTAGCACCCATGCGGCTCTTTTGCAACCTTTAACTTCAGTATTGGACATTTGCAATTCAGGGATCCCGGCATTTAATTTGTGTCGGGAGTTTGTGGAAATGCATCATGTTGTATGGGTAGGAAAATACATATTGTTCAGACCCGAAAGACAAGCCTTTGAAACATACAATTATGCATAGTAGGGAAGAGCAGGACTCGATGGACTTTGACAGTTAGTGAGGTTTGACACTAAGCAAATGGGCGTTGTCCCATCCAACAAAGCGCAAATGAACTTCGTCTCATCTCATCCAATCAGACACGCGGTAGGATGACAAAGGTCGGATTTTACCATGTTTTGCATAAATTGTGAATAGCTTTTTGCTTCTGTACTTTGGACTGTCCCGGCCAATACTTAAACCCAGTAACAAACCACTACCTGTATCATCACATCCTATTACTCTAGCTTCGATATGAAGCACTAATTCCGTCGAAAATCAGAAGTCAAGTAGATAAAAAAAAATAAAAAAAAAATAGCCAGACAGGAATCACTATCAGCCCAACTCAGCATAGTAAGGCCATTCAATACTCAATCTATTAGTTAGTACAACCTCCGTTTTTGTTTTTATCCGTTGCTCTAAGGTTTGTTCTAATATTAAAAAAACAATGATTGAGAACTTAATTTATAAAGATATTATCTTCTTGCTCCTAATAAAAAACATTGGAACTCTAAAAAAATTGAAATTAAAGTTAAAAAGTAGGTAATTGTCATTAATATATTGTTATTAAAAGTAAAGAGAAATAAAAGTAAAATTGAAAAAATAGTATTTAATGTTACATTAGAAATGAAGTGTGACATATAAAAAAAACACTTTGGGTTCACGGAGGTAGTAGATATTCTATGAACATAGCATATAAATTACACTTCTACCTACCATACACATACCAAATAGTCAAAATCATACATTTAAACATGCTATACCAGGATCAGTAGAAGTGCATCCTTGTGGATTTACATGGCTGAATATACAGTTTACAACAACATTTACATTCCCGCGTGAACACTCTCTCCATCTATCCTATCTCTGCTTACTTATTATGTACATAACTGTTGAATTACAGAGAGAAAGGGAAAAAGAAGAAATAAAACTTACATACACAAATTGATGGTGCTCTATGATCAATTGATCATCCCACAAGCATAATAAAAATAATGCTGCTGCGTAGCATTCAAGGGATTGAAATAAGTGCACGCATCTAACTGTTTATGAAACAACTGGAATGGAAGCTCTTAGAGTGCAACACGCAACGCCAGAAAACTGAACTCTTACCAACCAAAACAGAATTTTTTCCCTCCAACTTATGTTATACAGGTTGAGAGGCATCATCAAATGATTCATGAATAAATATGTTTGTATCATCAAGCTCTGATACTGATTCTATCTCATAGGATGAAAGCAACCTCCTCTGCACCCACAGATAACAAATATCCCACCCACAATAAAGTGAGATTCTTAAATGTAGATTTTAAACAAAAAGATGCTATAATCAACTTTCAAATATCTTGGCAATTCAATGGGTGATATATGTTGTGATAGAGCATCTAAAAGAGGACTTTCTAAGGTACAATTGAAAAGTGAAATAGATCCTGATTGCACTAATCAAATAATTAGCACTTACATGATCCTCGAAACTGGGGCTGGTCAAATTGACTGACAAGTTTCGCATCAACAATAATACCTGGACATGTACCACAAGGAATAAAATAAGATCCTATGTAAAGACTAAGGATAAAAACTCACAATGATACACAACTTTGCATAGGGAGCAAAGTATCCACAATAGAGTATCCATGTAGTTGGTTGCATTTATGCATGTCTAGCGATTGTTTGCTTTCGAACCTTTTCTCCTTACTTCAGCTACTGGGGTTTGTTCATGAGTTTTGATTAAGCATATCTATTTTACTAGTCTTCATACATTTTCCGACTCTTGCCATTTGAAGAGGTATGACGAGCCTTAAGTCTTAACCATCATGAATCAAACCAAAACAAAATGATACAAAGCAAGAGTGCCTCCTTTATAAGCAGTTTTCATGTTACGCCATTATTTTAAAATACAATGACCTTCCTAGAAAGTACAAGCATAAAGATTAATAATTGTAGATTCACGCTGCAAATTATGTAGACTCCAATTTGTTCTCAACAAACATTTGCCAAAATCTAACAAAATTGTAGCAGAACATTTGGAATAAAGCTTACTGTTTCCACATCAATAGGGTCCATCCTTTTTAGTTTCTGCAAGTGGTCCGTCACATCTGAGTCAAAGACACTGCCTATGAAGCCATATACTACAGCAAAATCTGGTAAAACTGCATAAGATGAAGTTAAAAGGTAAATTAAAAAAGATACTTGCTCAAAACAAAAGAGCGGGAGGAAGAAAAGTAATCTTAAGTACACCAGTCAAAGAAAGCAACAGAAACAGATGAAAAGATTCCAGTAACTCACGTATACCTCTTCGGGGGCCATGATTATCCGGATCAATCATTTCACCCATGGGCCGCATTTTGGAGTTTGGAGTGCTCTCATCGCTACTACAGCAATAGTTATTGGTCATTGGCTGAGTTCCAGTTCTCAGATCACCTACGAACAAATGACACGAAAATATCACTCTTACAGGTCACAACCACATCCAATCAAGCGGGATATATCAACTGTCATCTAAAATCAGATATTGAACCTTTATCCCTTGTTGCTTCAACAGAGTTGTCATTCCAAGAAGGCGCAGCCGCCCCAGTACCAGCATTATTGAGCAAAGCCGAAGAAGCACTCCTTTGCAAATATTCATGCTCCGGTAAAAGTTGCGATTCTTGCACGGAAGCTGCAACTTGAGGGAGTGCAGAAGCTGCAAACATCCAAGAGAACATTCTTCAACATTGACTAACTACGAACAAAACAACAAATAAAGAACCACTCCTTACCATTTTTTGAGGCTTTTTGGGGGTATGGATGAGCAGCTTTTCTTTTAGGTCGAGGGGGAGGTAAATGTTCATTGGTCCCACTTTTTTGAACCTTCAAAAAATACTTCTGAGCATGACTGCGTATCTGCAAAAGAAACTATCCACTGTAAGGATTCCATCTTCAGGCATAAAGCATGTCTGAGAATCATTCAAATAAAGTCATAGGAGACGTTGCACCCAGTTCAAGCTCAAAGAAACATGTTGAAAATTGATGATCATCATACATAAAACAAATCCATACATAAAAAATATGAGGTACTTATTACATACCCTAACAATGCTTTTAGGAAATAGAAACTCCATAGTTCAACTAAACGGGCAAGGGGAAAGCCTAATACCCTTCGAGCAATAACAATAAGGAAGCTATATTTAAAATAGATGAGAACATGTGTTTTGGAAGTACATGATGGCAAAATGATTAAGTTGTAGCTGTTTGTAGCGAAACCATGCACATCAATGCAAGAGATGAGTGAAGACACTTTTTCACATGAATAATACACTCCATGCAAACAGAGGAAGAATTTGACAGTTAATTCAAGAGTACTCAATGCAGCTATGTTCACCTGGATCACTGTCTTAGAGCCAACAAATGCTTCAATCTTCTTCCAATCACGATCAAACCTACACCATAACAACAAACCCCCCACAAAAAAAAAAAAAACGGAGATGCACAAAATATGGTCACCAAAGTGTCAAATAACAAGTAACCGAAAAAATTGGTAGTATACATAAATAAAAGGTAACCAATATGTACTTGCCCAGGCTAGCATAACTAAGTAAACATCATGTAAGCTACAAACACAATAAATGAAGTACAAAGGAATACTATCATTGAATTAAGGGTAAGATTTCTGCCCTAAACTCATAACTTGACTTGTCAGCCAACAAAACCTGGTCCATATATCCTACTCAAGATACTAAAAAAATTCACAATCTCAAACTAGGAACTAGAAATGCAACCTAGCCATGCAAAAGAATAATAGCTGCGAACCCACATTTCCAGTTGCTAGACGAAGAGAGATAAGGAAAAGGACACAATATATCTGATGAATCCTACAACCATTTCTGCAATTAACCCCATTGCCCCCATTCTGAAGTGACTCACGAGTAAAGAGGGCAAAGGTGAGAAAACACAGCCAAACATCAGTCATGCTACAGAAAGATAAGAAAATACAAAAGCTCAATGAAGTGAAACCCGAAACGACGAATCAACCTAAAACGACAATCCAGAAACCCATCCAAATTACCAATTGAAATCGTTCCTAAATATCACACTCACGAGTGGGCAATTCAAAACCCTGGACCAGTCCCGCCAAAAACCCTAATTAAGGAACTCCGTCCGTCAATTCACAGTACAAGAATTCGAAAAGTGGAAAATGGACTCACAGTTGAAGCGCTTCAAGAAACTTGTCGTGCTCGGGTTCCGTCCAACTCTCTCGCGACTTGGTGATAGTGTAGGGTTTGCGCACCTTCTTGGAGGCGTCCTCCGCCGATAGGGGCGAAGCTTTGGCCGTGGAAGTAGCGGCGACGGCAACAGCGGTGGGTGTGTTGGAGAATGAGCTAAGATTGGGAAGGGCCATGCCCATCGGATCCAAGTACAATCCTTCAGACGGGTTCGGGTTCAATGACACCATGCGCTGCCTCTTTTGTTAACTGTGAAGCGTTTTTGTTTCGTCTCTAGATATCCGGGTCTCCTTTTTTCTTCGTTAAGCTAAGTTGGTGGTGACTTGTCGGGTCAATTCTCGAAGATAACAATTTTTGCCTGCTTCATTTTTTATTTTTATTTATTTTTTTTTTTTACTGAACGACCTTCTTCGTTTTGATCTGCCACTATTTTTTTTTTCCCCTGAAAAAAGGACCTCGAATTTAGCTTTAACATAGTACTCCGTACAATATCTAAAACACCCCGAACTTTACTAGTTTATCAAAAACATCCTCATCTTTTGTAGATATATCTAAAACACCCCTTGACCGCCTAATCATCTGAGTCAAACGATGAGAGCATTGAAAAGACTCAAATAACCCTACACCCTTTAGAACAAAGAAGACACAACTCACTTCCACCGGCTTCTTCTTCCACCGGCTTCTTCTTCCGTCGGCTTCTAGATAAAGACTCAAATTTTTGAAGTGGTGATTGGTTTAAGAAGGGCTGTTGGATAAATGGTGCTGGCAGAGGATGATAAAAATGGAGTTCGGACTGGCGGTTTCCTGTAGTATATGCGAAAGACTTGGAATAGGAGTAAATGTGGAGAATGAAGGTTGTTGGGTGGTGGTGCTATTTTGTTAAAACTGATGTTTTCTATAATGGTTGATAGTATCGTTGGTAGAGAAGATCAACTAAAAAAATACATGTGAGATTGTACAATAGGCTACAATCATTGCAAGAAATCTACTAGAATCTATGATTATTTAATGGCAAACCGTAAAAGGATTTCTTCAGAAATTGAGTTTGGTTTTGGTGTCTATTGGTTACTTTGTTGGAAATGAAGTTCTGATCGTTGAGGAACGAAGAGACATCTTTTACATCAAACAAATGCTTTATTGCTTTTGGCCTCTTTTAATGGAGGACAAAAATGCCTCTGCAAATTTTTTTTCATGCTGAAGCCATACTCATACATCATCTTTCCAGCACAAAGGATTCATTTGACGGTTGAGCTGGAGGTCAAAGGATGTATTGGATATTTCCTCAAATAGTAAGGGCGTTTTAGATTTTCGATCAAACCTTGGGGGTGTTTTTTTATATTAACCCTTTATTTATATAAGAAAAAATGGATGAGAGCTCAAAAAGTTTCCTCGGCGTGTTTAATTCAATCATTACAACAAAATGGACTATATGGTGGAAAAGGAGTAATTAATTAGTAAAAAAAATTATTTTACCAAAACAAAAAAAAATGGTGAAATTCTATATTAAGAAAGAATCCTGTTAGCTAACGTGATTTATTTATCAGTTTACGTACTTGCTTGATTAAATAATAGGTTACGACTTACTAGAGGTTTATTCTGTTAAAATTGACCAATTTCTTCTTTACATTTTTTTCCTTAAAGTAGTTACGATAATTTGTAACTCCTAATCATCTTCTAACTTCTGGTAATTGAGCTAAACAAATTCACATGTTTGGCAACTTCCTAAAGTTAGATGGTCCTGTTAAGATATTTTTTTCCTATGTATGGAATGTTAGGTTTTGACAGCTTTGTTACCCCCGATATAAACTACTACTCCCTCCGTCCCATAATTATTGTCCAGTTTTATTAAAATGAAAGATTTTATTTTTGGTCAAACTTAATTATATTTTACCTTAAACAACCGGATATACCCATACATAAGTAATTGTTTAACCACTAAGATTTTATGGATAATGTTTTTTTATTAAGGATAAATGTGTAACTTGATCCATAAAAAGTCAAATTGGACAATAATTTTGGGACAAAATTTTTTGGACAAAGTGAGCAATAATTATGGGACGGAAGGAGTACTATATATACCAGTAATTCTTTCTTTTTGTCCTTTTTTTTTTCGGTTTGATGGAATTCTTAATATGAAGCACCGGAGAAACAAAAGCTTATAAATAAACAAACCCTAGAAGAAGCCGCACAACTATAGAACCTCCACACTTAATGGGTTGCTTCCCCGGAATATGGCGTCGTGGACATCAGGTAGGGGATAATCTGTTCTTCCTGCTTAACTAATGTTGCATTGTACATTAGTTTTACTCTTGTAATAAAAAATTTTATTTTGGCGTGTTGAAATTAAATTATTTGTGATTCAATACCTAATTAATAAATACTCTCTTCATCTGGAGGGAGTACATTGCTTTTTGCGCGTTTTTATGAGAATTGCTCCTTTTTTTTTCGAATTTTGTCAAAGTGGTAGAATGTCGGAATTTGTTAAACACATTAAAGATGTGTATTTAAAATTACTGTATTTCTCCACTCAATACCAATCGAGTTTTTGAGTTGCAACCATAAAATTATTATTACTACTTGAGAATTTGCCTTCAATTGGGTTAAAGTTTTGCTTATAAATTTTGAGCACTCCTTTGGTGGGGAAAAAAAAGTTTCCAAGAATTAAACCTAATAATTCGATGTTGTGTGATGTTCGGGGGAAAGTGTGCGGAGAAGAAGACGACACCGACACCGACACCGGCACCCATCTCGGAGGCTGCTGCGGCAGCACCGAAGTCACCTCCACCGGAAGCGCCGCCGGCACCAAAACCTACCCCAGCACCTGTACTGAAAGCATCAAGTTTTATGCCTCAATTTATGCAGCAAATGTCATTGGACCCAGAACTGAAAAACGTTGAAATGCAACTCCAATATGATTACCGGAATCGGCATTACTATCATCATTATGGTCCCGCGGGTGCAGAGGATATGCGGCGGCGCATGCCGGTCGGAACGTCGAGACACATGGCGGCGCCGCCTTTTCAGCCGCTGCTTGAATATATCCAACCACGAAGACCATCATCATTCGGGGCAACCCGGCTGCCACCGCCGCACCGGGCATTTCATAACTACTACAACAAAAACTATATTGCTGATTTCGCCCATGATATTAATCCTTATGCACTGGGACCTCCAAGCCATCGTGGATACTATGCTTATTAAAGTTATTACTACTGATTAAATTCTTTGTGAGTAATTGCAAATGGGTTAGCTCTGTTTTTTACTTCAGTGTTTGGAAGCCCAGCTGATCTATTTCAAGTCTGTTGTAATTACGGGTTGAATTCTTTGATTAGATCGAGTATAATACAGGATTTCCCTTTTTTTTAAAAAAAAAAAAAAAATCTTCATTGATTGCGTATCTCACTTCGAATTTGCAACATTTCGTGATACGGTGAAGGTGTCAAAACGTAATCGCAGGGAGCACGTAGCAGCAGCAAAGCTAACCTTTAGTTAGTGCTGTTGAAATTAAGCCGACGGCTCTCTGGAAACAGACCGGAGTTTGAATTGTCAGCTGCGGTCAATTTAGTCACGTCCCAAGTCATAACATATACTCCCTCTGTCCCAAAATTATTGTCCAGTTTGAGATTTCACTTTTAGTACAATTTGAACTAAAAATGAAAACCCAAACTGGACAATAATTATGGGACGGAGGGAGTAATCTTGTACTATTAACAAATCACACCAGTTATAATATTCATCTCAGTTTTTGGATCTTAACTCACTTGACATATACTTTGTCTATGTGTATATCAGTATTCACTAACATAAATGATTATAGTAACTAGTAGTACTCCCTCCGTCCCATAATTATTATCCAATTTGAGTTTTCATTTTTAGTTTAAATTGTACTAAAAGTGAAATTTCAAATAGGACAATAATTTTGGGACATAGAGAGTACTATTTTTTTATTTTGGAAAAATAATCTACACTACGATTGACAAAATTATAGCGTGGATTATTTTTATAAAAGTGCTTAGACTATGGTTTACATACTAAAATGAAGATACATACAAAGGGGATTTTTATTCAAAACAATTAATGGCCGCCAGAACAACTATGTACCGTGGTTTACGAACATGACCCGTTCAAAATGCTCTAGTATAAATTGGCTGCAACGCTTGACTTCAAAACTCCATTTGGAAACAAAATGTTCATCCCTTTTTCTCATTTTTCTTGGAGAAATCTCTCTCAACAGTGAACATTCTTCTTCTCTGTCTTTATCACAAGCCTTCATCAGAAACTTCTGTTGTTCCAACCAAGAAATTTCAATATCTCATCCTACTCAGGGGAAGATGACGAAGGTTTGTTAATTTCAATTAGATCTTGTTGCTGAATTTTAACCTTAATTAATCATCTTGTAGTCCTTCTCTCAGAGTTGTAGCTAGCTACTCTGCTACCTCACATGATCTTTATTTGCAAATCATTCATCACTTCATACTTTAGCCTACTTAATTATATGAACTTCTTTCGTCGTATTCTTCTTATTCTTTCCTTTTGATTTTTATCACACAGAAACTGGTGTTGCAATTAGACTACTACGAAGACAAAATCAAGCAAAAAGCCATGCAAAAGGTTTCCGGCCTTGCAGGTAAGCGTACAAAAACTTTGAGCTACTATGTTTGAAATTGAGTTTGATTATCACTACCTACGATTAATATTTTATTAATTAATTCAATGGTTTGAATTTTACAGGGATCGAATCAATTGCGATAGATTCCAAGGATAAGAAACTAACCGTAGTGGGCGACATAGATGCGGTGAAATTGGTGCACAGATTAAGGAAGCTATGTCGGGCTGATATAATATCAGTTGGGCCTGCAAAAGAGCCCGAGAAGAAAAAAGATGACGGCAAGAAAGACGATGGCAAGAAAGACGACGGCAAAAAAGGAGGCGATGGTGATAAAAAGAAGTCCGGCGGAGGAGATGATAAGAAGTCAGGGGAAGGCGGAGGTGGCAAGGGATCAGATGAGAAGAAATCAGGAGGTGACGGTAACAAGAAGAGTAATAATGAGTCTAAAGGAGATGCTGTGAAGGTATTTCCGGCGCTGCCTCCGCCGCCGGGCTATCCACAGTACTATCACCCACAGTATCCGCAGTATCTGCCGCCGGCGGTCTACCACCAACAAGCATACCAACATTATCCGGCTCAATCGGCATATTACAATAGAAGTTCAGAAGAAGATCCAAATTCTTGTGTCATATGCTAGCAGGCTTTCCAAAATGTTTAGATGAATTCAACAAGGTGGTAGTACATTTTACTATTTTAGTCTTTTGTCTATCACATTTTGGACGTTTTGTTTGTAATTTTTTTTTTTTTTTGGGTTGAATGATATTTATTGCTAGGATGCCAAAGTCAAGAATAGAGCTGTCTTGTATAGGAGGAGGATGGTGATATACGATACTATTAATGATATATTTTTTTATAATATTATTATTAGACTAATCAAATGCTTTTTATCTTTTTTTTGTAGTTGTTTTGGGTACAATGACAAGAATACAAAACACCAATTGTCATTTGGACAATATGATTAGGAGTTCTAATTGTATTAACAAATAAAAAAAAAAGGAATGCTCCGAGCTAATTCAAAACTGATTAGTTGTTCTAAACTGCACAACTTTTAGTTTGCTAGAGACAATTTTTTTTTTCTTGGAAAAGCATTAAAAAAAAAAATGAAGGTGATACTCTAGTGCTTGTTTCCTTTTGTGATTAAAAAAAAATTGCAAAAAAAGTGTACCAGCAACACAAATTTGTTTTGGCTTGTTGACTTTTTGTTATTTGGATGGATCCATTCAAATAGTCAACTAAAGTCTGCTATTGGTAGTCGGGACTGTTCAAAGCTCCCACCACTTGGCACTTCTCAGCCAGCAGATTTTAGCCCACACAAAGGCCGTATTCAAGGCAGGGCTAGGCTGCTCGTTATGGGTTTATCACTTGTAAGATGTGATCTCTGTTGTTGATTGAGTGGCGATGTATTTTTCTACCAATTGGCAATTGGGAGGATCCGTGTTGGATTGATACTAAATATTATGACCTACAAATGTATCCTTTTTTTTTTTTTCTACTGCATTAAAACGATTTACTTTTTCTTTATAAAGTTTCGTAATCAGGACTTTTTCATGCATGGTTCATAAATTGAAGAAATGTTTGCTTTGATTCGGAGTTTTTCCGTCGGCTCTCTCTTTCGCGCTCTTTAGTCATTGTCAAATTAATCACTATTTAGGTCCAATATGTTTTATTAAACTAAGCTTAGACGTAGACCATGGCGCCGGCTAATTAAGACAGCATCCTTTGCTTATCTCTTCTTATATTGGAAGTTTGGAACTGCAGGCTGAGCACTGTTCTTCAATTCGGGTTGGTAGAACTCGGAGTTTGTGAGTGGGTTGTGTTGTTGTTTATTGAATTGACGCAGTTTTACAAATTACTCCAAGCTAAAAAAGGAAGAGTGAGGAAAGGACAAAAAGCATATTATACTGTAAAAGATTTTACTACATTTTTACAGAAGAAGAATGCAGATGGAATGAACTTTAGTCTTTTACAGTTTTATCAACGTATCATATCCTAAGCATCATCTTCTTCCTTCCAAATCTCAACCCAATTCTTCTCAGCTTCCTCAAACCCAAAAAGTGATCCCTCTCTATTGGCATCCCAACTGGAGGACAAAGCGCCATAAGCAATTCCAAGTGTGGATGCCCCAAATGTGAGTAAAGTAGTCAAGACTGGTAACCAATACGGCACATCCCACCAACTCTGCTGCTTCGCCGCCCCCAAACCTTTCAGCAGAACAATCCCAACGGCCAGAGGAACCCCAACAAAAGACAAGATTCTGGATATGATCCTTTTCTGCACCACTTCTGGTATCTCGTCACCCTCACCAGCTTCATTCTTCCTTCTAATTTTGCTTTCTTTCGCAGCATCCTCAGCTTTAGCCGGTGCCCTGTTGAAGCCCTTTGCCTCCGCGTTTAGCCTCCAGTAAGTTCTGACCCTGTGATTCCCGTTTGTAATTTTAGGTTTATGGTGGATAATTGGGTTTATGTGATTCCATGGTAGTGTTCTTGAAATATGGCTACGATGTAGTTCTAGACCATTGAGAGTTTTCATGACTTGCACTCTGATTTTTTCTAATCATGAGCATTGATTGTTATATTATATCTTCTTCGTTTTTGTTGATTTATCCAGATGAATGAGCGGCTGGGATTTGGCCCTGGTGGATAGGATGCGCTTTACAGTTTACAGTAATGAAGAATTGACTGTGTCTTTTCCTCGGAGATATTTTGGCCCGATATTTGTCAGCAATCTATAAATTCTCTTGGAAAGTAGAGAGACTTAATTTCAACACGGAATTTCAAACAAGTTGAATTTGACACTTGAGTGCCACATTTAATAATAGGCTTAGTTGAAACTTCAAACAGTCATGAATGCTGGTTTATTTACCACATTAAAAGAGTTTTCAAAAGGTGCCAATTAAGCTAGTACTAAATAGACAACCCAGATACAAATGGTCAGCGTAGAATCGTTTTCTCGGAAAATAACTGTAACAGTTTAACTGCAGGTATTCTTTACCGAGCATTATCACAAACAGCTTGACTTCGGTGTAATTTGATTATTGGAGACCCACGCCAAGAACTCTTCAAACGCCCAAAAAAAAGCACACTAAACCGCCTTCTGCTTCAACTCATGGATAATTTGCGCGCCCTAGAACGTCGATACTTGATTGAAGGAAGGTCCGGTCTGCAGATTCTGTGCATGCCTGATTGGAGAATTCAAGGTGTAGTTTCGGGGTGAAGCATACAGATTTGGCCTTTCAGTTGGCGATAGAGAGTACGGTGACACCGGTGAACGGAGTAGAGGTGAATGATTGTATGATACAGACGTCTGATGGTCTGAAGAAGGTGGAGATGTCATCATCCCACTTCTGGTGTTTGGGCTTAATGCGGAGGCTCCTCCAGGGGATCTAGTGAAATATTTCTTTGCCGGGATCATGTTGATCTTAATTCTGGGACCAATGTGAAATGGAAAGCAAATGAGTCCACAGTAAAGTCTGTACATATGAATATTTGATCATGAGCAGCAACGAGCAAGACAGAAATGTGGTTAAATAAAATAAACTCACTTGTTATGAACATCAACGTACTCATCAGTTTCATCATATATTGGTTCCTGCACATACATGAGAAAAAAGAGATTATGCAAAAATGTTGGTTTTTTTTTTTTTTTTTTTACATATTACAACCCTCTTCCTAGTGACTAATCCCCTTTGCTCGTGGTAGGCATCTCGATGGGTGAGAGAACTGACCAAAGGATTTAAGGTTGTTCCATGTCTATGGCGAGGTTCGAACCCTCCACCTATGGTTGAAGAGTAGAAGAGTCCTTACCACTAGACCACAACCCTTTGGTTAAAAAAATGTAAATTTCTGTTATGCAACATACTCAGTTTTCTCCAGGTGACATTAATATCAGGGCAAGAGTTGACCATGAGAAGTACCTGGAGCAATTCTTCCAGAACATCTTCCATGGTAATTATACCTATAACTTCATCATCCGGGCTTGGAATAGCTTCCACCTGGAAGTTAACTTTGATCTTCTCACTGGGGACCGGACTCGAGACTTTAATTCGACAACAAGGCACAGATGACTCCAGAACATGTGCTGATTTTCGTTGACCATATGGAACATCATTTGCTGCAAGCACAAGTTCAGCCACAAAAGGAAAATATGAATGTGAGAGTCACCTGAAATACTACAAACAGGAAATTTTCTCAATAATGTTTTACCTTCCTGAACCGCTTGGGTGTTGATTGAATGCAAATGGCTCCTCAACATATCAACTTTGGACTTAGCATTTTCCGTTTCAGCAGCATCACTACAAAGATCTTTATTCTTTACCACGACAGCCATATGGCTCTGACCTTTTTGAAACTGATTTAGCATATCGTACAACGGTATTGAATCATAAACCCTGTTACCAACCGATCGATTCACATCATTAGCTAACCTTGTTATGATTCAGCATGAGAAAACTGTTGTATCAAAGTATGCGAAACACAGCTCTACCTGGGTATCTTCCTGATAGTCAGATTCCTAATTGGTGTTTCATCTTCAGGACGGCATTTTATAAGGTTCTTTATCTAAATTGCCATTAAAAGGGGGGAAATATCAGGTCAAAAACAAAAAGATAAATATTGCATAAATTCTACAAAGAAATGATAACTACATGCTTAAATACCAGAATAAGGCCAACTATGTTACTGGGAGTTCCAGAGTATACAGGCACACGACTGTGTCCTTGGCTGATTATCAAATTCATCAGATTGCTGAAAAAGAATAGGAAGAAGATGAAAGTAAACGTCTGCAGAAGAGCCGCAAAAGCAGTGATGTACAAAAACTGGAGTAAAAAACTCAGACAATATGGCCTACTCATCGAGCTTGGAGTTGAGATCGAGAGCAAAGATTCTAGACAAAGGTGTCATGGCATCTTTAGCTGTCTTTTCTGTCAAGTCAAGAGCCCCAGAAATGATTGTAGTTTCATCACGAGTTAGCTCTCCGCCTTTTCCAGCCTAAAAATGGCAAAATTCGAGTACAATTCCATTATCTTCGTCGAACTCAAGCAATTAAAAAGCAGGGGAACTAACTATACTTTTTAGTGTATTACTACTAACCTCGTTTCCATGCAAATCCACCAACGTCTTCAACTCTGCTCGTCTGAGTAGAGCAGAATGCTGCTTCCCAAGTAGTGAATCCAGCAACTAATTCAGCATAAGGGCCAAACCCGAAAAATTTCGGATTAGCATAAAAACTAAGGCAAGAAACGAATTAATCCAAAAGTTTTCAATGATAATTGAAGGAATCACCTTACTAATTGGATATGATAATGGGAAAACAACTATGACAAGCAACCGAACCAAGGGGGACAGCTTTGCACCAATACTCAGTCCATATCGAGAACAAACAGCTTGAGGAATTATCTACAAGCACAAACGAAATTTATGTTCAAGCCCCTCCATACTCCATAGAGAGTTGGCATAATTTAGACTAAATTAATCCACTCACAGCGCTGGCAAATTCAAAAAAATTTACCTCTCCAAAAGCAAGAATGAGGGTGACAGAGATTAACACAGCTCCCCATGCAGGTAGAAGAGCGTCAAGGAAGATGGGCAAAGCCTTAATTAAAGTAAATGAGAAATTCACCACTAGTTCAGCATGAAATTAACTTCGTATATATTGAACAATCAAATTACATTATGAATTGATGAATTACACTTGCCTCCATTGCCAGGGAATTGCAGATGAGAAGAGTGCATAATAGGAGGTGCTGTTTTTTCACAAGAGGCAAAATCTTGGCAGCATTTTTGCTGTCCTCTGGCTGACCAGCCTTGATGAGGACCTCAAGATCGACGAGTTCCAGAGACATGAGGCCCAGAGTTAGGCCGGACATGAGGCCTGCAAAAGCCACAAGTCCCACGCATATGAACAAGTAAACCCAGAACATGGACTCACAACAAGGCACATCATTTGCAGCCATTTCAAATGTCGCGTTAAATTTGAAGAATTTGCAAAATTAAACAGAGGATTCTGAATGCTCTGCGTAACTAATCAATTTTAACCAAAATCAAAAACTCAGAATCTATGAGCAAATGTTGAGAGAGTTTTCCCATTGTTGGAACGGTTTCTCTATATAATTCGCCATCAACACACTCGGTATGAGTGAAGGTGCCGGATCCCAGACACATATATATAACAAACTCCTAACTAGCTTGATTAAGAAGCTAGAACCATCTACACCAATCAGCCACTTACACGTGGAATTAGTCTAACTAACTGCTCCTGTAAGTTGCATAATTTCTAAGTTCACGCTAATGAGGCTAATTACTCACTAAGCTCACTACAATATGCATGCATTACTGCTCCTGGGAAAAGGCTAAGTACAGTCAGCAGCTTATGCGGGGCAGGTAGGATTTCCCCTTCTTTCACCACCATGCATAATTGCATTGTTAAATACTTGCTCACGTCGGAGTAGGGAGGTACTGTATATATTAGTAGCATAAATTAATCGAGATTTGTGAATGAACAGAAAGATGACAAACAGTTCTCAACAAAATGTAATTGGTCGTAAGGATTGTTTGAGTTGGTTTGGAGATCAAAAGATAGTGTTTGTAGTGGGAGGCGGATTTCCAAACTAATTATCGGTGGCTTGATGTAATTGATGGTGCGCTCTTTGGTTGGCCCACAGGACAACGACTAAGTTATGAGATAGCATTGTCTCATCAGTAATTTACTCGGTATAGAATTACCATGTCATCACATAATACTACCCATGTCCCAAACAAAATAGTCCACATTGAGTTTTGATATTTATAATAGTTTTAGTACAAAATTATTTTTAATTAATAAATAATATTTTAATAATTAAATAATAAAATTTTAATTTTAAAATACTTTTAATGATTTCAATTTTAATAAAAATTTAAATTAAATTAAAAGATAAAAATACCCCTGATGTCGGCATGTCAACAATCGGGAACAGTGAAATGGGACCAAAAAAGTGCGAAAATATGATATTTAGGACTACGATATTGAAATATTAATGTTAGAGACGTAAATTCAAGTAGGCCCAAATGTAAAGGACCATTTGGACATTTTAGTCTTTTGTTTATTAGGTAAGGACCAAGACAGGTGCAGCCTGACATTGAACACATCAGGCATTGCCTCTTATTTCTTTTTATTTTATTTAATATTATAAAATTAAATTAAAATCAGCATTCAATTTTCCATTTAATTTGCGCATTCCTAAAGGTAATGTGCCTCCACTGAAGACTTCCTTGTTTGTTTGCATGTATTATTTATTTACGCACTAAATTTGGGACCATTCACTTCAATGTTAATGCATGGATAATTTATATAACAAAAAGTGTATACATCACAAAGGTTTCAAACTGTACGAATTTGGAACTTTAAAATTAGTGAATTAGTTATCGGTTTATATTGACAATATAGTAATTACATCTGTTTTAAAATAAAAGTCATAAATCTTCTTATTATTAACACAGACCAAACATGATACATAAAAAAAATTAAAAAAAAATACTTGAAAAAATTTCTTAAATGTCTGCTAGGAAATGTCTCTCGCGAAAGAAATCCACCTGAGTTAGGCTAGTGTTTGCTAAATAGAACTTAGAAGTTTTCATAGAAAATCTCTGGTTCCATTGTAAATGTTACTTCTCCAAGTAACTGTAGAATATGTGATTTTTTATTTTTTATTTTTTTATTTTTTTGCCACATTTAGGCCAGTGCCATATTTGGTCATCTAAGATTGGATGATCATGGACGAAATTAAATACAATTGCAGTACCAGTAACTAGAACTATAACACAGACTTTTGTTTTATGAAAATAAACTTCTTTCCAGTTTATGGTAGACAATAATTAATCACAGGCGCCATATGCCTCTGCCACTTTTCAATCTTCATTATCTCTTGGGTTTTGTCGAGATAAAAAGCGCAACAGCTCGCTTTTAAAACAACCTACACCTTGCTCGAAAATTTAGGCTTTATGAGATGCCAGCATTCCTCAACTTCTCATATGATTTTCTTGAAACCTGTTACAGGAGAAGTAATTAAGTTGAAACATGCATTAAGAATACAGGGGAGTGATCTGGTTAATTTGTTTCCATGTATTTTCAGTATTGAAGAGTGTCATCATCATCATTTTCAGATGCCTGGAATTACCTGCTTGGAAGGTGAAAGCGGCAAAACAGCGTACCAAGAAGCTGATGATGGAGATCCCAAATTGGATTTTCGAGGAGAAGCTTGTAATGTTGGTCTTGTGAGTGGAGATGGGACATATGGGGACATTGGGGAATTCAGGACGGGAGTAGTATTATACGATCCCGAAGAGAAGGAAGACGACGGAGTGCTCCACCGAATTTGAAAACCTGATGGAGATCCCAAATTCGATTTTCCAGGCGAACAAGGAAATGCTGTTGGTCTCATCAATGTAGATGGAGAATGTGGCGACATTGGAGAATGCAAGATGGGGGTATTGTAATACGAAGAGAAATCGGACGTCGCCGGAGTTTTCCATTGAATTTGAGAACCTGTACTCCATCCAGGAGATGAAGCTGTTGATTTTATGGTCCAGGGTAGATGGTGCATCCTGATCCTGTAAATATGACTCAAAATAATCAGCCCAGATAGTAAAAACTCTGGAGATGGAATTCCGTAATCACCCTGGAGAAATGCACTTACTTGTGAAGGACATTAAGATCAGTTTCATCCAAAATTTCTTCCTGAAAAACAGAAGATATTCAGCCTATTAGCACAAACAATATGGAATATCTATCAACTCTGACTTTGACTCGAAAGAGTTTACCTGGAGGAGTTCTTCCATAACATCCTCCATTGTTATGATGCCAATTACTTCCTCGTCTGTGTATTTGTCTTTCAGAGATTCCAATTCATCAGGTGATATGTTCCCAACTTCCTCCTCCCATTTGCTGGACTGATCTGACAGATTACTACATGGCGTCGGCGTCCCAACATTATGGAAAGTGTTAATTTGTGCTTCAATATCAGTAGGATTTAAACTGTCGGTTAAAGGTTCTCCCTGACGAAATGGAGAATTATCCCCTGCCCGAAACAGTAAAGTCGCATTACATCACGTTTGTTTAGTACTCCATCTTAAAATAATTAACCAGATCATTGGAATGCAATGATCTGGCGAAAGTGGCGAAAAATCTGAACTGAGTAGAAAAATCTGGGAACCACGACAAATCTGTTATACCTTTAACTTGTGTTGTAGAAAGTGGCGAATTCGATTGGCTTGCAATATCTCTGAACTGAGTTGTTTGTTTTACCTTGATTTCACCATTTCCATGCTCATGGGACCGAACCACGACAGCCATGTGGCTGTGACCTTTCTGAAACAATTTCAGGACATCATACAAGGGCCAATTATCATAGACCCTGTAAGATTTTGAATTATGAGACTGTATATTTAACACTATATCAGAAAGGAGTTTCACACCATTATTTTGTTTGCACAATCAACATCATACCTGGGAATTCTTCGCAAAGTGATATGTTGAAGTGGAACTTTCTCTTCGGGATCGCAGAATATCAAGTTTTTCACCTGAAACAGGAACCAGAAAAGCAATTGTTACCGCCAGAAATCACATAAGATGTCTGAAGGATACCAAAATGATGAGTAAATGGTCCAGCTTCTTGCAGCTTACCAAAACAAGGCCAATTATATTTTTGGGATTGCCCGAATAAAAGGGTACTCGACTATGTCCCTTACTCATTATTAATCCCATTGTATGCCTAAAAAATTGGAAACTCGTGTCAGTTTCAAGAACAGCAACAAACAAAATAATCCATCCGTCCTCAAAAAGTAGTCGTGTTTTTCGTACTGTTTTAGTTCAACAAACATGATTCTTTTTTATGGGACGGAGGCAGTATTACTAACGTGCAATATGACTAACATGTCAAGTACGGCAGTTATATCAAGGGAAAAAGTTTTGGATATGGGCGTCATGGCATCTTTGGCAGTCTTTTCTGTCATATCCAAAGCTCCAGTTATAATAGTAGTTTCATCATCAGTCAGCTCCCCGCCTCTACCTGCCTGAGAGAATTCAAGGACACAAAATGTCGATCAAATTTGACCGTAAACCACCAGCTCAGCAATTTGCTGTGCATCATGAAGCGGAAACACTTGATAAAAACAACAAGATCCAGAGGGAATCTCACCTTAACGGACAATAAATCCACCAGCGTCCTTAACTGTCCTCGTCCTAAAAATGTAGAAGAGTCCTTTCCTAGGAGCCAATCCAGTAGCTGCAATCTCATAAGTCCAAAACACCAATGATCTATTTTTTCACATATTCCGACTAAAAGTGTATCTATCCTCTGCACGTAAAAAGTCAAATTATCTAGTAGTAGAGAAGTGATGTAGACAGTGACTGCTACCTTGCTAACAGGGTATGATACAGGGAACATAATCAGTTGGAGGAGGCGGACAAACAGCACAAATTTTGCACTGAAACTTAATCCATACCGGGAGCACACCGCTTGAGGAATGACCTAAAACAATTAACACACACAGAAGTTAACAAACTGAAGTGATGTAATGTAGGCATCTACTATCTACTTTAGAGGCAGTTTATCTCCTTACCTCAGCAAACGATAACACAATAGTGACAGAGATAAGAATGGCAGCCCAAAAGGGAATAATTCTGTCCAAGAAGATAGGAAGAGCCTAAATAATTAAACACGAGCAAAGTTAGTCACTCAAAAAAAAAAAAAAAAAAAAAAAAAAACACCCAACAACAAAAAAGAAAAAGGGAAACAGTTGAGGATGTATAATATACTTTAAGTACATGAAACACACCTCAAGAGCCAGTGATTTGGCTATCAAAAGGGTACACAGGAGCAAATACTGATTTTTAACAAGAGGCAAGATACTTGCTGCGGTACATATATAAGGAAACAAAATCAGGCCGGCCACCAAGGAAGTTATGAGCAGTACTGTTATTGAATAAAAGCAAAATCTGTGGAATCTTTTTGCAGAATCTGACCTGCATTTTTCCTCTGATGAGGCAAACCGGCTTTTACAAGGACTTCGAGATCAACTTGACTGTAGGAGAAGAGCCCAAGACTTAGGCCAGACGTGAGAAAGGCAAACGTCAAAAGCACCAAACACAATGTTAGGTACACCCAAAACTTTGGTTCACAACATGCTACATCATCCTCCTCCATTGTGTAAGCGTAACCTTAATAATTAGTTGGGCAGTCTGCAGAATTTTTAAAAAAAGGAAGAGGGATTCTGGAATCTATGAATTTACAAACAAAAATGGAAAGAGGAGAGATCAGTGATATGAGGGCGGGGGAGACAGAGACAGTGCTTCTACTACTACTTGTCTGTTGTGACTTGTGAGTGTTTCGAATTAAATACACGAGGCCAACTTTATTTAATATATGTGAACTGTGCTATATAGAGTACAAGGAATTAATATAGCAAGTTACACGCTTTTGAACAGTGATGCATAAAAGTGAATTGCTTTCCAGATAGTAATGCATTTTTGCACCTCCGCAACCTTCCCCAGATCATCCTTATTATTTGGGAGTTTTATTATACAATTTGTGCCATAACTGGGGATAACCATTTCTCCTGCATTCAACTTTTGGTATTTCCAACTTTCTTTTATTTTATAACATCTTTTGGGTTTTCCAACTTTAAAAGAAAGGAGTTTCCTTCTTGCAGATTCTGATACTCGGGATACACATAATACTACGAAACCTAACGCATAGTATTTAAAATATAAAAATGTGATAATCTTTAAGGACGAAAGAGATTTTTTTTATATATACATATATAATTATATACGTAGTTGGTGACAAATAATTCACGCACCGCCCAATGGCTCATCTCATTTACTCAAGCAATTTCAATTTGCATGCATGGTCGCGAAAAACTGAAATGGGGCGGCCGCTGAAAGTTGGTACGACATTTGTCACCAGTCTGAAGAGATTTTCCAAGGTGATTCCATTTTCTCCAATTAAGTCAATATAATTAGTCTGAGCATGTTAATAAGACCTACATAATCAAATGTTAATAATGATGATGATATATAATAATAGTAACGTGATATATTGATGCACATAACTTATGTTAAGACTAATTTTATGGTTTACGGGGCTTCCAGATACAACTGTATAATGACGATTTAGCATATCTGCTCCCAAAGTATGGTACCTGGTGCAAATTACATAACTTAATTATTAAACAAAAAAAAATCTCAAACGTACTTTAATTAATAATTTATATTTGGTCAAGTATTGTTATGAACTCCCCTAAAAGCTTATTCTACTACGGGGACTGATTATCAACTCAAACATGAAGTCACGAAAATTTCCCCCTTAAAACTGATTAGTTATTAATTATTTATCTTAAATACGCGATAGTCATCAGTTAGTAATTACAACCAGGTCTCTGTACAAATTTGAACTAGTAAAGTAATCACTCCGTCCCAAAAAAAATAATCCACATTAAGTTTTGAGTTTTGTATTATATTTAGTACAAATTTGTAAATTCAATATGGACTTTTTTTTTTTGGGGGATAGAGGTAGTATTAAATTTAAGCGTTATAAATATGAGGGAATAGACAGAATACATACGATGTTGACAGAATTAACCAAGTGAACGAATACAGGTAAACTCGTTATCAGCATGCTAAAAATGAAGATCCTCTGCATTCTCGGTAAAACTTGCAAATGTCAGATGTGTACACGCATATGAAAGCAAATTGACTAGCAATAAATTGTACGTTGGCATTTACTACTTCGTAAAAATAAAAACCGCTGGCAGCAAATGGAACCAATCAATCATGCCCCGCCAAAAATAATGTAGTAGGATTTTGTTTACGAGTAATGAACGGTGGCAGACCAAACATATGGAGAAGGAGTACCAATCAAATTAATTAAGTAAATTGTAAACTTAACCAAAATTAACATGCACAAAAACGAATTACGACCAAATTTCGGGTTTTATTTTTGCAGAAAAAAAAAAACCTACAGAAGAACACAAATAGTAGGTGATTAACCATGGACATGTAGAATGAAAGAGGAAACTTGGAGGGAGGAGAAACCAATGGAATCTGATTCAAGGTTCATTGATAAGTGATGAGGATATTCATTCGAAAGTGACAAAGGAGGGCTGAGAAGCTGACAAAGATCCAATAGTTTGAGATTTCATATTATTTTAAGCTTTTATCTCTCCATCTTAGATGCTGCAAAATGCACTTTTTCAGTCTGATTTAGAGCTCAACTACAATTGTCTAGATTTGTATGGTAGCTATTTCTGAAAAAAAAAGGGGACATTTTTGTATTAGACTATTTAAATCTGCATATCAGGTGTTCAAACATTATTATAGCTACTAGGAAATATTATTGTGGTACAAAAATATCACGTAAATATTTTTACACACATTTTCTTTATTATATCTCTGTCCCATAATTATTGTCCAGTTTGAGTTTTCATTTATATTTCAAATCTATCTATATATTAAAAGAGAGTTGATCATTGAACACGTGTCGCTCAATTAGACCTTAATAGGTTCCGTTGACATATGTAGTTTTATAATTGGCTCATCATTAAACCATTGCCATATGTCGTTTTATTATTGGCTCATCATTAAACCATTAAAATTTTATATAAAATAGTTAATTCGTTTCACCTTTACTAATTAATCCATTTAATCCGTGTAGCTTTTATTTTAACCAACTCAATTTGAAATTCAAAACTACCATTAATTATAAAAATTTCAGATAATATATTCTCTTTCGTAAAAAGTAGCAATCTCTCAATTAAAGCTAATTTATCTAAAAGGTAAAGTAAACGTCTCTTAAGTTTAGAATTTGAGCTCTAATTGATCAATCCTACTGGTTGAATCGTTTTAATCCAATGGTCTAATTTTGTTTCATGGTTACAATTTAAGTAAGGGTTAAGTAAGGGTAAAGTGGTCATTGCAAAATGCAAATTTTTTCCCATTTATCTTTTCTAAAAGGGTCGTGCTGTTGAGCGCCCTAATTTTTTCATTTGAACGCCCGAAAAAGACATACATGCCCCTATAAAATAGAGTTGATTTACAAAAAAAAAAAATGTTTGGCGAGGGAGAAATGAGTCACCCCTTTAAGGGGTGGCGAGAAAACCTTCGCCATGCGGCGAAGGTGTGGCGCCCTTCTGGGCGCCACATTGGTGCTTTGCTCGCCAACCAAAGGGTGGGTGGCGCCATTTTATGCGCCACCCACCTTAATTACTTTTTTTCTTTTATAATTTTTTTATTTTTATTTTATTTATTTAATTATCTTTAATTTAATTATTTTTAATGTATTTAATTAATTTCTTTTATTTATTTTAATTATTAGCTTAATGAATTTATTTAATTCATGTATTTATTTAATTTATTTAATTCATGTATGTTCTTAATTTATTTATTTATTAAAGTTTATTTATTTGTTTGGTGGTTAAACAAATATTTTTAACTTAAATATTTAGAGAATGTTGCTTAATTATGTAGTAAATTTTTATAAAATTTATCATTTAGTTATGTAAAATTTTTTAAACTTAAACAAAAAATTATTATTTAATAAAAACTAAAATTTATAAATTTACTACCAAACAAATTAATTATTCATCATCGGTGCATCTAGCCGTCCTGGGAATATTTTTTTGGAAAAAAATATAAAATTTAAAATACGTTGAAACGAAAAATTAAAAAAATTGAAAAAAATATAAAATAATTTTATTTATTTTTTTAATATTTTTTAACTGCCAAATAGATAAATAAAACATAAACTTAAATAAATAAATAAATAAAATAATTAATTAATTAAATAAATTAAAAAAAGAAAAAAAAAGTAAATTCAGTTTGGCGAGCAAAACGCTCACCAAACCGAAGGGGGTGGCGCCAGATTTTTGCGCCACCCCCATTTTGGGGGTAAAGTTTCCTCTCGCCTCCCTTAATTGGGAGGCGAGAAAATTGTGTGCCACCCTTTAAAGGGTGGCGCATTTCTTCTGCGCCAGGCAGCGCTCCATCGCCTACAGCCTTTTTTTTTTTAAAAAAATATGAATTCAGGGGTAAAATAGTCTTTTTGAGATTTTTTAGGGCGTTCAAATGAAAAAATTAGAGTGTTTAGTAGCCTCCCAGTTCTAAAAAGGTTAACGTGCAACTCGACGCCGTCTAGCCAAACGGCGCCGTTGAACCACGATATTGGAGGAAACTAAAACCCCTCTTTTTCCGTAATTCGGCCAGTTTCCCCCTCCACCTCCTCGCCAAACAACTTTCTCCTCCCCCTGATCTTCTGATGCGGCCAACATCTTCTCCAATTTTTCTCTCCTCCCTCCTTCGTAACGGCGATCTTTTCGGCCGGCTTTCTATTTTTTTTCCCTTCTTCTGATTTCATTGGTGGCGGTGATGAATGATTTGTAAAGAAGAACTGAGGCCCGGTGGTTCTATCCTCATTGCTGGAGGCGATGGATGATTTAGGTGCTTCTAAAATTTTAATAACTAATTAATTATTTCAGTCTCAATTGGTTTGTTTTCATTTCTTTTGATGCATTGATATCTGAATTTTTTTTTCCCATTTTTCTCCTATGCTCAATTTTCTTTTTTTTTTTTTTTTCATTTGAAAAAATAGATATACAAACTTTGTTCCCAAACGGCGTAGCGCGTTGCTTGACCCAATCAATATGGCTCTCCATGCCCGTCCCTCCTTCTATTCTCTACAATGCTGATTGGGGCTCCAAAAATTTTTTACATGTGGAAATCGCCGTTTCCACTTGATGGGAAGACTACAAACCTGACCATTTGTCCATTTTCAGTGGTGATGTGCACTAAATTGAGCAAATACTTGAGGTGATTTTAATTTCTGATTTTTCGCTTAATTTTACTGAGGTTTTTTTTCCGAATGAATGTGGTTAGACTACTTGGCAGCAATGAATCTGGTGAATTTATCTTTACTGTTATTCCTGTTATGTACTGTTTATTAGATCTTGATGCTTATGTGCTTTAAGTTGATGTGAACTGTAGTGATTTTACGATACGAGGTAGAGTAGTCTTCAAGCAAGGGAAAGAGGAAAGTGTTTAGGGTCTCTGTGGAAGGGAAAAAAATTCATGAGCTCTTTGGAGAACTATGACAAGAGAAGCTATTATCGTCAACTTCAATCTTGCTTAAGCATGAGCTGCGAGAACATGCCACCTTGGCATGGAAAAAAAGGTATTCAGGTGTATTGGTTTTAGTTCAAGGAATGTGTTTTTGATATTTGACAACCCTTAACTTTCTCTTGATACTTCTCTTCGTAGAATTTTACTCACTCAGTGTTTTTCTATTCTTAATTTCACAGAAATCTTGTTGCCGCTGTGATGCTTTAGGCGTTTTTATTTTCCCTTTCTTGCTTGCATAA